GGGTATTCACACGCCTTGCTTAGTTTCTGAGCCGTTAGGTGGTGTCTATGGGTGAGATTCGACCACTCCCTGTATAATGAGTCAGTGGGTGCCGTGAAAAGGCTGTGCAGGATGCTGTCCCTGTTGGTAGGTGGCGCTTGCTTGGAGGAACAGGCTATGCTGTTGTTTTTGTGTCCTGTTATCAGCTCTTGTTCTGGGCGGAGCTGGGTTGGGTAAGCCTGCCCTCAGGCACCACCAATGCTTTAGCAGGGGTCAATGTTCTGTTCTCTGCTTCCAGGAAAAGCTGTCAGGGTGGGCTGGAATGGTCGCCGCTCGGCCAGAAAGTCTGCTTGTGGGGTGGGGCTGTCTGAGACCCACAGTCTGAGGGGGCCTCGCTTCTTTCCACCCTCGCCCCAACTCCACAGCTACTCCTGGCTCTGCCAGCAGCCAGACACACCGCCACCAGGTCTCCCCAGACTGTGATGCCGGCAGGGAGGTTCCCTGCGCAGGAACGCCACTTGGGCTGGGCACATGGCCTCCCTTTGAAGGGAGGGTTGCCCTCTAGGACGCTGATCTGTCCCTGGAGGCTCACACACCTCTGCAGGCTGTTCACAAATATCCCTTCGTTGCCCTCGCAATGCTAGGCCTGGGTGCACGGGATCTGGTTGCAGGTTGGACCTCTGGGTCCCAGAGTTCAAACTGTATCCCCACCAGGGAGAGGAGTTCCGGTCCCAATTCACCCACAGGGAGCCCAGGCTGTGTCTGTGTCTCTCAGCCTCTGAGTCGGCACCGTTCTCCTGGGAACACCGTGCCAGCAGCACCTGGGAGGGCTGGCGGGTAGGGAGCTCACAGTCTTGAGTTCCCCTTAGTCAGCTGTAGGGTCCCAAAAGGGAAGGTCCCGTTCCCTGGAGGTGCCTCCCGCTGGTGGCTGTATTGTCTCTCTGGGCAGCCCCTATGTATACTTGACATTTAAATTTCCTTTCCTAAGCTGCAAGCCTCCATGTCCAGTTGGCAGCTGAACATTTCCCAATTGAATATCCTGTAAATCATCTGAATTGTTGGTGTGTTGAAAAGAGAACTTATGCCCTGATACCTATCACTTCCCCATTAACCATCTCCTCTTTTTCTTCATACTTATCCAATCTCTCTGAATGGTACCACATCCTATTATCCAATCCAATAATTGGAAGTCATTATTGAATATTTTTCCTTTATGTTCCATATTTGAGGCTGGTTAGTTTATCTCTTAAACATTTTCTTTCCATCTTTATCCATTCAGCACCACTACTGCTTTAGTTCAGACTCTAATCATGTCTCATCTAGAATGCTGAGAGGTAAGTCTTGTCATATGTCTTCCACACAGAATGAAAGGGACTTTATGAAACCACTCAAAGACTTTGAGGTGGCTCCTCATTGACATGATTAAAGTCCCAAATTCTTTTTTTCCCCTTCCTTCCCTCTTTCTTGCCCTCCTAAAGTCCCATATTCTTTTTTTTTTTAATATGTATAATAATATCAGGTCATCCTTGTATTTTGAAATCCACCACCACCCTTCCTTTTACCACCGTCTGTCACTCCTCCCTACTGCTGTAATTACTTTTCATGAAGTTCTTAGAACATAAGTTGTCTGTGCTGTTGTGCATTCTACTTTCTGTGCTTTTTGGAATGCCAGTTCCAGTTTACCTAGATTCTTTGAATTGATCTCTGAAAACTCAATCCATTTTTCATGAGTTGAAGACATTTGTCTCTTAAAGATCATGTTTATCAGTTTCATTTTGATTCTTTATTTTATTTTATTTTTTTGAGACAGAGTCTCACTTTGTTGCCCAGGCTAAAGTGAGTGCCGTGGCATCAGCCTAGCTCACAGCAACCTCAAACACCTGGGCTCAAGCAATCCTTCTGCCTCAGCCTCCCGAGTAGCTGGGACTACAACCATGCACCACCATGCCCGGCTAATTTTTTCTATGTATATTAGTTGGCCAATTAATTTCTTTCTATTTATAGTAGAGACGGGGTCTCACTCTTGCTTAGGCTGGTTTCGAACTCCTGACCTTGAGCAGTCCTCCAGCCTCGGCCTCCCAGAGAGCTAGGATTAGAGCCACTGTGCCCCGCTCATTTTGATTCTTTAGATAGGTTAATGGATTCAATTTGATTTTCACCCCTAAGTGACAGTCTTTTTTAATATTTAGCTTATCCGTTGGTATTCTGTTCCACTCAACTAAATCTCAGGTATGTTCAGACAGAAAAAGGATTGAAAACTACTCTGCTTGTTCATTCTTCACACTTTGTTTTCGGTACCTCAGGGAGGCCTTTCCTAACCACTGTATTTAAAATTCTAATTCTTGTACTCCCTCACTCCCTCATTTTTATTTTTCTCCATAGCAGTTGGCACCAATTGGCTTACTCTATCTTCTAGAAAGTAAGCTTTCTTCAAGGGAGATTTTTGTTTTGGTTTTCTTTCAGTGCTGTATCCCCAGCACTTGGAAAAGTTCATGGCACATGGTAGGCACTCAGTAAATATTTGTTTAATGAAAAACATAGTGTTTGTGTTCCAGATCAGGATAGACTCATTTAAAATATTTCCACAGGGTTATTATTGCATAAGAAGTAGAGTTAAATTACAAAGGATAATTTTAAAGTTTTCATTAGTTGTGATCTTGTATCCTCTTTGCTTTCTCAAATAAAGTCTGTTTTATTTATTTTATTATTTTTTTATTAATTAATTTATTTAGAGACAGTCTACCTCTGTTGTTCTGGGTGGAGTATAGTGTCATTGTTGTAGCTTACTGCAGCCTCAAACTCCTAGGCTCAGATGATCCTCTTTCCTTGGCCTCCTGAGTAGCTGGGACTACAGGTGTGTACCAAGATGCCCGGCTAAGGTGAATTTTGTTTTAAAGCAGACATTTTCATATCCTTTGGAGGAGTGGAAAGATTCAGATCCTTTAAAAAGCATTATAGAAATATGTTCTTAAAAGTTATCCATTATGACCCTGTAATCTTTGATCACATTGATAGTACAGTAGTACTTTTAGGGCCCTTGCCTACTGCCCATTGGTTGCCTTACTTCGGAATTATAGACGTGTGGGAGAATAATGCCCCCATTCTTCTCCATCACATTTAATTCTAGAAGATAAGGTGAAAGAAACCTTACCTTTTTCATAGTAAAATGTAGCTACTCAGGAATAATGAAGGGGACACCATCAGATCAGGTAATATCCATTCCAATTGTACTTTATAAGGTAAAATTAGTACTATTGCTGTGTTGTTCTTACAGGCTTGACAGCTGCCACCAAAATGTTTTACAATGACATCTTTAGCCAGTAACTCTCTTCTGAACTCAGTCTCCAGCCACCTACTTGATATTTCCACTTGAATGTGATACCAGTTATCTCAGATTTATGATACCTCCAGCCAATTCTTCCCATAACTTCCTCCTCTTGAAGTCTTCTTGTCTCAGTGGCCTTTTCCTTGTATTTGTAGAGGCCAGCAGTCATCTCTCATAGCCCATATTCAATACAGTCTGTTTACTTCTTGCTGTCTTCACTGCTACCACCTGGTCCAAACCACCATCATCTCTCACCTAGATTATTATAGCCTTGCACATGGGCTTCCTGTGCCAGTCTTTGCTCCCTTAGAATTTACTCTCTCAATAAGGCAGCCGTACTGATTTTTTTCTTTTTAAGAGACAGAACCTCACTGTGTCACCCAGGCTGGAGTGCAGTGTTACAACCACAGTTCACTGCAACCGCAAACTCCTAGGCTTAAACAATCCTCCTGCCTCAGCCTCCCTAGTAGCAGGGATTATAGGCACATTCCACTGTGCCTAGCTAATTAAAAAAAATTTTTTTTTCAGAGATTGCCGGGGCTGGTCTTGAACTCTTGGCCTCAAGTGATCTTCCTGCTTCAGCCTCCCCTGGTATTACAGTACACTTGGCCCAGAGTGATCCTTTTTTGTTTGTTTGTTTGTTTTTGAGAGTCTTACTCTCTTGCCTGGGCTAGAGTGCTGTGGCGTCAGCCTAGCTCACAGCAACCTCAAACTCCTGAGCTCAAGTGATCTTCCTGTCTCAGCCTTCCACGTAGCTGGGACTATAGGCATGTGCCACCATGCCTGGCTTATTTTTTCTACTTTTAGTTGTTTGGCTAATTTCTTTCTATTTATAGTAGAGACGGGGTCTTGCTCTTGCTCAGGCTGGTCTGGAACTCCTGAGCTCAAGCAATCCTCCTCCTGCTTTGCTGAGGTGAGCACAGAAATTTGGTTTTGAAGTAAGGGGATGGGCAACTGATAAGAATATGCAAAGCCTTAGAATTAGGAGAAAGTGAAGCATTTTGGGGGAATTGAAAAGGTTGGGGAAGAGGGAATAAACTGAGAAAGGATGAAATGCTAGAGAGAGAAAAGACTAGATATTGAAGGCTTTGAGGCATTATCCTGAAGATAATATGAAAATCTTAACTTTTTTTAAAGGAATAAGATAATGAGATTATCATTTTAGGAAGATCTCTGGCTGTGGTGGAGGAGGGTTCAAATTCCAAGGGAGAGGCTGAACGTGGTTGCTCATGCCTGTATTCCTAGTACTCTGGGAGGCTGAGGTGTGAGGATCATTTGAGCTCAGAAGTTGTACACTAGCCTGAGCAAGAGGGAGACCTCGTCTCTGCTAAAATAGAAAATTAGCTGGTGTGCGCTTACAGTCTCAACTATTCTGGAGGCAGAGGCAGGAGGACCACTTGTACTAGGAGTTTGAGGTTGCAGTGAGCTATGATCACACCACAGTACTCTAGCTTGGGAGACAGAGCAGAGTCTGTCTCAAAAAAAAGAAAACCTCCAAGGGTGCTTTTATAGTCTCTGTGCCCAGCTACTCGGGAGAGGCAGGAGGGTTGCCTGAGCCCAGGAGTTTGAGGTTGCTATGAGCTGGGCTGACACCACGGCACTCCAGGCCAGGCAACAGAGTGAGACTCTTGTCTCCCCCCCAAAAAATAGGAAGATTTCTGGAACCAGGCATGATGGTAAGTGCCTGTAATCCTACCTACTTGGGAGGCTGAGGAAGGAGAATCGCCCTAAGGCCAGGACTTCCAGGCTATAGTGGCTTTGATGATTGAGCATGTGAATAACCACTACACTCAAGCCTCCTGGGCAACAAAGAATGAGACCCTTGACTCTCAAAAGGAAAAAAGATGAAGATTTCTGTTTCCTCATCAAAAAACAGAAATCAAAAGATATGGTGACACTGGAAAGATTTCCCAAGAAAGAAAGAAAAAGCATTATACAGCTGGAACAAAGGCAGAAAAACTATTAAAGAACATGAAAGTTTTTTTAAAAGGTAAATTGAACTATCATGAATGGAGTTTAAAAAAAGATTAGATTTTAATTGTTTTTAGGGGAGACACAGACTCCAGAGAAATGGGGTCAGTGCTCCGTATTTTTTTTTACTTACTTTTCATATTTGAATTTTTAAAAGCATATATTAAGATGGGGAAGCAACTAAAGAACCATCTACCTGCAGGGTGCAAGGAAACAATGTAACAACCCGTGAAAGAGATGAACACCTAAACTTTTTTTTTTGAGACAAGTCTCACTTTGTTGCCCAGGCTAAAGTGAGTGCCATGGCATCAGCCTAGCTCACAGCAACCTCAAACACCTGGGCTCAAGCAATCCTTCTGCCTCAGCCTCCTGAGTAGCTGGGACTACAAGCATGCACCACCATGCCCGGCTAATTTTTCTATGTATATTAGTTGGCCAATTAATTTCTTTCTATTTTTTTTTTATATATTTTTAGTTGGTCAATTAATTTCTTTCTATTTTTGGTAGAGACGGGGTCTCGCTCAGGCTGGTTTTGAACTCATGACCTTGAGCAATCCGCCCGCCTCAGCCTCCCAAAGTGCTAGGATTACAGGCATGAGCCACCGCGCCCGGCTAATTTCTTTCTATTTATAGTAGCGACGGGGTCTGGCTCTTGCTCAGGGTGGTTTCGAACTCCTGACCTCAAGCAAACCACCCACCTCGACCTCCCAGAGTGCTAGGATTACAGGCATGAGCCACCGCGCCTGGCCTCGAAATCTTCATTTTTATGTAATACACAGTTTTTAAATTTTGGTAATTACTTAGTTTTAAAAGCTGTCTAATTTGCAGCCTCATTTATAAAGATTTCTTTGATCATTCTCCTTTCCACCTGCAAATTTAATTGCTCAGTCTTTGTGTATGCCCATATGTTAATGTGTAGTTTTCAAATTATTATAAAAATATTCTCAAATGGATAGTGATGTATCAAAAGTTTTTTTGAAATTCATGAAAACTGGTTCAATGAGAAATTGGGATTTATATAGTCAGTTTAATAAAGAATGCTGAAATAAAATTACAAAGATATAACTCTGGTTAATATCCTACAAGGTATTCAAACTGTAGCTTTTTGGATAATCTCTACTTGGGACAGAAAAAAAAATTTGTTTAACCCTAATGGTTTTCTATAAGCTTACCTTTAAATTTATAGAGTTATAAACTGCCTGGGCCTAGTCAATTAAAATTGAAAATCAAACAATTAGATAACTTCATATGAACTTATTACAAAGTGTTCTAGCATGACATTAAAAGTCACACAATCTTTATGTCTTATTTCAGGTTCTGAATAATTTACCTGAAAACTTGCTAAATTTTATGCTGTTAGGCCAACCTCTTTGTATCTTCCTTTTTTAAAATATTAATTTATAAGTTTCCAGAATTGTGAGCAGATGATTCAGATCTATATTTTTGCCTTGTTCTTATTTGACTACTAGTTTCATATTGTCTGTAGTAGAGGTCTATTAAAATACCAACCCATCCATCAACTTAGATATCTAATGTATTCACAGTATATATGCAATAATAGAAGTATAATATAAGCTTTAGATGTGTAGAACAAGTTAGTAGGAATAACATTTGCTTTAGTGAGCTGGGTTTTGAAGTTTTAAGGAGTTTCAGATAGAAAAGGGAGAACAAAGCAAGTAGAGTGAAAAATGTATGTTTAGTTAGGGCTTGAGTCTGAGTTATTGCTGGTGACCACACGAGTTTCTAACCAACCTTCCCCCCCTTAATTCAACTCAAGTATTGCTGACACCGTTATTTCCATAAAAAATAATCATGTTTCTTTTCTGTTTGAAAAATATAAATCATTTTGTGTTGCCAACATATAGACTTCATTTTGCTTGGTATGGGAACTCTTTCATTTCCCACTACTTCTAGGTTTCTTTAGCCATACTTTTCACACTTTACCATTTATTAAAAATATAGAACTTTACTGTTGTTTTTTCCCCATTCTATCAACCCTCGACTTCCTCACGTGATCAAATTGGACTCTCCTTTCCCTTCTCTGACTGGCCAGATCCTACATTTTCTTACAGACCCAACTTCATTCTAACAATATGACTGTCCATACCTAGTCCAGAAGGATCTCCTTGTCTTAAACATTTGGTTGTATTTGTTTATACAGGTGTGCAGTCATACCATGTCCTGTATGGCAAATCTATGAGTGGGTTGTCTCAGTTTCAACTGGAAGGCAGTAAGCTACTTTTCATACTTTATGTCACATATGGTGCTTCCTATAGAATTTTTTAAATGTGTCCCACAAGTCTATATGTTCTTGTATTTGTAGACCTGAAAAATGTCTGAAAATTCCAGTGACAGTGATTCATCTTGTGGTTGGACTGTCATCAATCATGAGGTATGATATTTAATACTTTTTACAAGGTAATTAAAAATATTACAATGTTAACAATGATGTAAACTGTGTTCTTTGAAGGCCAGTATTTTTCTACATTTAAGCAAACATTCCTATTGCACATTTTCCCACCCACATTAAACTTCACTGCCAAATATTCTTCACAGGCTAGCATCTTCTATTAATACATTATTGTACACAGCTTTCCTTTCTCACATTAGGCAAATATTTATTGAGGATTTATTATTGGTCAGGCCCTGTGCTTTCTGCTTTCCCTTCATTCTCAATATAATTTTATTTATTTTTTCTTTTTGTAAGAGATGGGGTCTCACTATATTGTCCAGGCTGGATTGCAGTGGCTATGCACATGCATGGTTATATACCTCACTGTAGCCTTGAACTCTTGGACTCAAGTGATCCATCCTCTTGCCTCAGCCTCCTTGGTACCTGGGACTACAGGCGGGTGCTGCCACGCCCTATTCTCATCTAAATTTGAACAACCCACTGTGGTTTAGATTGGTTTCATCCTCATTATATAGTTGAGAAAACTAAAACCTAGAGAGGTTAAGTAATGTGGCCAAGATTATGCAACTAGAATATATTAGAGCCTGGATTTGAACAGACTAGAAAGGAGGATGGAGAGCATGCCCTTGTATTATGTTATATTAGCACAACTTGACAGGAAAAGGGCTATGGCTAGAATCCTATCCCCAAATGGATTTTATAATAGAAAAATGATATACATACAATGAATGTCCATAACTTGTACATAATAAATATCGGCTTAATAATAAATATTTTCTCACACCAGTAAAGTACATTCATTATAGAAAAATCATAGTATACTGATAAACAGAAACAAATAAAAATAATTTTTATTCGAAGTTTTAATGGATTTATCTATGGTTTTCCTGTTTTTTATTTTTTTAGTATCTCAAGCCTCATTTGTTTTCCTTCATTAATAAATAACTTAAATGGTATTTTTTTAAACAATTACTTTGATAATTTAAGGTTTGGGTAATTTGTTAGTCATACCTTCTAGAAAACAGCATTTACAAAACAAAATGATCTCCTTTTCTGCTTTACAATTTCAAAATTTAAAAGCAACTATACTGGCTGGGTGCGGTGGCTCACGCCTATAATCCTAGCACTCTGGGAGACTGAGCTGGGAGGATCACTCTAGGTCAGGAGTTCAAGACCAGCCTGAGCAAGAGTGTGACCCTGTCTCTACTAAAAATCGAAAGAAATTAGCCAGACAACTAAAAATATATAGAAAAAAGTAGCCAGGCATAATGGCACATTCCCTGTAGCCCAGCTACTTGGGAGGCTGAGGCAGAAGGATTGGTTGAGCCCAAGAGTTTGAGGTTGCTGTGAGCTAGCCTGATGCCACGGCACTGTAGCCCCGGCAACAGAGTGAGACTCTGTCTCAGAAAAAAAGGAGAAAAAAAAAAGAAAAGCAGCTGTACCATTTGAAATTGAGGTGGTTCTTTTTTTATTAATCATAAGTGACTTTTCTATTTTTAATGTGTTTTCTATTATACAAAGGTTAGATCAACTCCCATGGCAACAACTTCTCTTTCAGGGATAATTAGCAATATAGGAACAAGGCAGCTATGGGAGTCTTGTGCATCTATCTGCAGAGTAGAGCAAGACAGCAAACTTTTCGCACTTAGCCAAGTGTGACATTAGGGTGTGTCTGAGACATCATGTCACAGGGTAAATCATATTTGTACTTTTATCTCTCTTCCTCCATATCTAGTTTCCAAGTTCTGCTCTCTCTTGCTATGTGTTTCCTTGCTACATGTGTTTCCTTTTCCTTTCCCATAACTACCAGTCTGATAGTAGGTCAGAACTGGTTTCCCCAGCAATCCCTAATCTAGCTCTAACTTTGCCTTAGCTTCTACCATTCTCCTGCCATGATAGGCAAACTCAAAGTCTTATATTCAGAATTCTCTTTAGCACTCATCTTAAAGGTTACTCATTTTGTGAATTCTTTTAATTTTTGCTGTTTTGAGTTACATATATCAGAAGAACTTAAGACTTTTCAATTTCATGTAGCAACAAACTATAGGAAAAAAGGTGGGGCACATAGGGAGAGGTAGAATCAATTTACTGGTTAACTTTATTTTGCTAATTAAAACATGAGGGGAAAAATTATAAGATCCACTATTTTATTAAAGGACAGTCTGACATCAAAGTAGGAAAGGTAACCTCAGAATAAAAAAATAGTTTAAAATATTATAAGGAAAGTATTCATTAACCTCATAAGGTTTGTGTAATCTATGCCCTTAATCATTTTTAGCATACATTGCTGTAATAAGTAATATTTGCATATGGCTGTTTCTCTGAATATGTTGTAAATTTGATTTTTTTATACCCCACAATACCTAGCAAAGTTCCTTGTCTATAGTAGTTCCATAAATGTTAAGTAGAAGTAAATTATCATAGAAACAGCTAAGTTTAGACACTTATCCTCTGGGATTCAAATTTATTGGTTGTGCTCATAAAATAGAGCATTCTACTTGTGGACCAACTTGACTTAGAATCAAAATCTGTGACTCCATTCTGCTGTTTTAGGCCTTTGTGGATCAAATTGAACAAAAGCTCGTCAGCTTAGGTACTGTTTTTTTGGAGTATAGGAACATCTGGCATTTTTAGTAATGGAAGTGTCTACAAATACTCAAATCCAGCTTTGTGTAACTAATAGGCAAATAACTGAATGATTATCAATTTCTTTTCTCTAGGGGTCTGATGTAGAGATGGTGAATTCTGTCACAGCCAGTAACAACTGTGAGCTTACTCCAGAATGTTCATCCTTAGAGCAAGAGGAGCTACAAGTATTGCAGGTAGAACAGGGAGGTAAGTTGTTTAAAAATTCTGATTTTTTTAGAAATAGGATATGTGAGTGACATGAATCCTGCCTTCTTTTCATGTGGGCAGCCTTTCTGACTAACCTTAGTGATCAGGCCACTGAAGAACTAGAAGAACTTTAGTGTGGATTTAGGGAAGGCCTATAGAACCCAGTGTTACCAGTCTGCCTGCAAGGGCTTGTTTATTTGCAGCTGTAGTATATGTTTGGGCCTTCACATATGCATAGCTACTACAGAGACAACCAGTGACTAAATATTACATGTCACATGATTTAACATGAATTTGGTGGGATAATTTATATTTACTTTTCATTATTAAAGTTGATTAAGACTAGTAATGTATAAGATTATTAATTTATCAAGAGATTTACTAAACTCTTCTCCAGTTATCATCATACTATAGAATACAGGCATACCCCATTTTATTGTGCTTTGCTTTGTTGTACTTCACAGATACCGCATCTTTTTTCTTTCTTTTTTTTACAAATTTAAGGTTTGTGGCAACCCTGTGTCAAGCAAGTCTGTCAAAGTTGGTCACTTCATGCCTCTGTGTTACATTTTGGTGATTCTTGCAGTAATTCAAATGTTTTTATTATTACTGTGTCTGTTATGGTGATCGTGATTATTCATCTTTGATGTTGTAATTGTTTTGGGGCACTGCAAACTGCGCCCATATAAAATGGTACACTTAATAAATGTTGTGTGCGTTCTGACTGCTCTACTGATCAGCCTTTCCCTGTCCCTCTCAGGCCTCCCTAGTCCCTGAGACACAACAATATTGAAATTAGACCAGTTAATAAGCCTACAGTGGCCTTTAAGTGTTCAAGTGAAAGAATCACATGTCTCTTACTTTAAATCAAAAGCTAGAAATGATTAAGCTTATTGAGGAAAGCATGTTGAAAGCTGAAATAGGCTGAAAGCTAGGCCTCTTGTGCCAAACAGTTAGCCAAGTTGTGAATGCAAAGGAAAAATTCTTGAAGGAAATTAAAAGTGCTACTCCAGTGAACACACAAATGATAAGAAATCAAAACAGCCTTATTACTGATAAGGAAAAAGTTGTAGTGATCTGAGTAGAAGGTCAAACCAGCCACAACATTTCCATAAACCAAAATCTAATCCAGAGCAAGGCCCTAACTCTTAATTCTGTAAAGGGTCAGAGAAATGAGAAGTCTGCAGAAGAAAAGTTTGAAGCTTGCAGAAATTGGTTCATGAGATTTAAGGAAAGTGGTTGTTTCCATAACATAAAAGTGTAAGAAGTAACAAGTGCTGACATAGAAGCTACAGTAAGTTATCCAGATCTAGCTAAGATGATTGATGAAGGTGGCCATACTAAACAGTAGATTGTTCAATGTAGATGAGACAGTTTTCTCTTGAAAGAAGATACCATCTAGGACTTTCATAGCTACAGAGGAGAAGTCAGTGGTTGGCTTCCAATCTTAAAAGATCAAACCGACCGTCTTGTTTGAGGCTAATGCAGCTGGTAACTTTTAATTCAAAGCCAGTGATCACTTACTATTCTGAAAATCCTAGGGCCCTTAAGAATTATGCCAAATTGGCTAGGCTTAGTGGCTCATACCCGTAACCCCAGCACTTTGGGAGGGGAAGGCTAGAGGATTGCTTGAGGCCAGGAGTTAAGACCAGTCTGGGCGACATATCCAGACCCTATCTCTACCAAAAAACAAAACAAAACAAAAAAATAACTGGGCATAGTGGATAGCACCTTTGGTCCTAGCTACTTGGGAGGCTAGGAGGATCACTGGAGCCCAGGAGTTCAAGGTTGTAGTGAGCTGTGATCTGACCACTGCCCTCCAGCCTAGGTGGCAGAGTGAGGCCCTATCTCTAAAAATGAAATGAAATGAATAAAATAAAATAAAATAATAATATACCCAACCTCATGGATGTTGTCAAGAGGGTATAATAATGTCTTTTTTTTGTCCCGTTCTCTGGAGAGGGTAAATTATGTAAGAAATTCATGTTCATGATAGGGAGAAAATAATAGTAAGCACAAGAAATATAAAATGGCCTGTAATCATTTTATCTGGAAATAATTGCTGCTGACATTTGGTATATATTCCTTGTGTGTAAGTTTATATGTTTATTATATTTAATATTTTTAACTTGTTAACATTTTATATTCTTTTTCATTAAAAGTATATTGTAAACTCAATAGCCTGTTTGTACATGTTTTCTTTGAGGAGATTTTTATAAAATCTTCTGTAGTGACATTATTTTGTTATGTGTTCTTTGGAGTGCTTATTTTTTATAGTTTATTTTGTATTGTAAAGCACTTTTTTGTTTTGTAAATCATTTATAATTTGAAAGCTGTAGTTTTAATTCTTACAGTACCACACATTGACAGCCATTAGAATGGTGATATCTTTGGGAATTTTAAATGAACTTTTAAGAATTTAGGAATTGTGCCACCAGGTATCTGAGAATGGATCTTTCATATTAACTTTTTTTTTAATTTTAATTTTTAATTAAACTGAAATTCTTTTACCCTGTAAATTCAGACAGAATTTAATGGATTTTTTATAAACACCTGGATTACGTAATTTGGTGTTGTAAGATAGAGATTTTATTTACTTGCTCACAGGAGATTTGAGTTTTTAGTAGGTTCTAAATGAGTTCAGTTCAGTATCTAAAATTATCTCCCAATGATTTCAAATAAATGATTACTAGCACCATAGCAGTGACTTTTTTGTAATTGTATGTGACATTTCATTAAATCCACTTTAACATATTGAGAATAGATTTTAGTCTACCCAGATTATATGTAGACTACAAAAAGTCAACAGTGTTTTAAATCAAGAAATAATTGTATTGATTTTTGCTTTATGTTAGAAAGCAGCCAACATGGCACAGTGTTAATGGGAGAAGCTGCTTATCCAGCTTTGGAAGAAACCAAGTCAGCAATTGAGGTAAACTTTTATTTTACCCTGTGAATATATAAGCAGTATGCTTAGAAAATGCTAACTAAAGCCTCCATTTCTAGTTGTGCATTCCATTTCTATTTGAATTATAAGCAATTTTTATTTAAAATTGTGAGGTTCCACAGATTGGTCAGTTTAAGTAAGGGCTGGGCATGGTGGTTCACACCTGTTAACCCAGAACTTTGAGAGGCTAGGCTGCAGGGTCACTTGAAGCCAGGAGTTTGAGACCAGCCTGGGCAACATAGTGAGATCCCATCTCTACTAAATAAATAAGTAAGTAAGTAAGTAAAGTTATCTGGGTGTGGTATTGCATGTCTGTAGTTCTAGTTACTCAGCCAGAGGATTGCTTGAGTCCAGGAGTTCTGGGGTGCAGTGAGCTATGATCACACCATTATACTACAGCCTAGGCCACAAAGTGAGACCCTGTCTCCTTAAAAAAAAGAGGGAGAGAGAAATTAAGCTGTTATGGTTTAGTCTAAAATGACATTTAGTTTTTAAATTTGATAGCAAACTACATGTCCTTTGGAGTTTTACTTGACTTCCAGATAAAACTAGATGACTTTTTTTTTATTTTTTATTTTTTTTAAAACAGGAAGTCTCCAAAAACTAGATGACCTTTACATGATGCCTTTGTCTGTGTGTTGCTGTAGCAAAATACCTGAGACTGGGTGATTTATAAAGAACAGAAATTTACTTCTCCCAGTTCTAGAGGCTGGGAGCTTCAAGGTTAAGGTGCCAGCAAGTTCGGTGTCTGGTGAGGGCATGCTCTCTTGCTTCCAAGATGGCACCTTGTTGTTGTATCCTCAAGAGGGCGTGGCAGAAGGAATGAAAACGGGCTGGGTGCTATATGAAGCTCTTATAAAGGCTTTAATCACAGTCACAGGGAGGAGCCCTTAACCTAATCACTTCCTAAAGGCCCCACCTCTTAATACTATTACATTGGCAATCACATTCCAACATAATACATTTTGGAGGACACATTCAGACAATAAATAGTTCCTGGCATAGCTGTTGAAGTTTATTACATACATAACCAGAAAAGTTTAATCAGTCTTTTTTGGGCTCCCTAACCTCCAGAGTTATGTTCAAATAAACCTGTGGGACTTGTGAGAGAAATGAACTCTCTTCTTTCTGTGATTATTTAGGAACAAAGGTGGGCTTCTCAGCTTCTGCAGCCCACTAGGACAAGGCAGTGGTCTGGTCTAATTCTGAGAGTTGCCAAGTGGTTTGATAGCATTTTCAAACTAAAAGGTGAACCTTCTATTGCATGATTCTTTACTAATGGGTAGAAATCATATCTTTCATTTTAACCTCAGAATACCCTAATAGTACCATTATTTACTTTGAACTATGTAGAAAATATAAGGCCATTAAAAATTGTTCAATTTACTATCTATAAAATTATTCTTCAGGCAGAGGAAGAAAAGTCATCTGAAGACAATGTCGGTTTTGGAACTGCCAGTGACGATTCTGATATTGTTACCCTTGAGCCACCAAAGTTAGAAGAAATGGGAAATCAAGAAATAATCATTGTTGAAGAAGCACAGAATCCAGAAGACTTTAACATGGGCTCTTCCTCTAGCAGCCAGTATGCATTCTGTCAGCCAGAAACTGGTAAGAACTATTTAAGGATAAAAAATACACTGATAAGAACTTAAGGACTTATATTACCATATTTTATATAATGCGTTGTTTTCTAACCATAAGTCTCTAGTTTTGAATATATTTGAGTAAAACTCAAGATAATTTTTTTCTGTGAAATCTATTATAATTAGTATTTTCCTGGACTCTGTGGCCTAGAACACAGCAGCCTTTTGCTATAACAATAGCCATCTCTTACCATTAAATAGAAGACAAATTTTCTTCAAGGAGATTTGTTAATATTTCAAATGCTCCAAAATGCATTTGATGGTTATTAAATCTTTAAGAGAAGATTGAGCTACCTAAAAGCAGGAGGATATTAATATTTTTGCTTACAATAGTGTACATTTTGTATTATAGAAATAGTGAAAGAAAATTAGTATTGAAGTCTTTCAGATACATTCAATTATTAGTCATTCAACAAATATTTGAGTACCTACTATGTGCCAGACAGGGTCCAAGGTGCTGTCAATATAGCAGTCTCCCAAAGCTCCTGACTCCTGACTTTAAAGCATTTTTTGCCCCAGCCTAGCTCACAGCAACTTCAAACTCCAGGACTCAAGGGATCCTCCTGACTCAGCCTCCTGAGTAGCTGGGACTATAGGCACATGCCACCATGCCTAGCTAATTTTTTCTATTTTTAGTAGAGAATGGGTCTCATTCTTTTTTTTTTTTTTGAGACAGAGTCTCACTTTGTTGCCCAGGCTAGAGTGAGTGCCATGGCATCAGCCTAGCTCACAGCAACCTCAATCTCCTGGGCTCAAGCAATCCTACTGCCTCAGCCTCCCAAGTAGCTGGGACTACAGGCATTCGCCACCATGCCCGGCTAATTTTTTGTATATATATTTTTAGTTGGTCAATTAATTTCTTTCTATTTCTATTTTTTTATTATTTTTATTTTTTTTGAGACAGAGTCTCACTTAATTGCCCAGGCTAGAGTGAGTGCCATGGTGTCAGCCTTGCTCACAGCAACCTCAAACTCCTGGGCTCAAGCAATCCTCCTGCCTCAGCCTCCCCAGTAGCTGGGACTATAGGCATGTGCCACCATGCCCGGCTCATTTTTTCTATATATATCAGATGGGCCAATTAATTTCTATTTATAGTAGAGATGGGGTCTCACTCTAGCTCAGGGTGATTTTGAACTCCTGACCTCCAGCAATCCGCCCGCCTTGGCCTCCAGGGTGCTAGAATTACAGGAGTGAGCCACCGCGCCCGGCCTCTTTCTATTTTTAGTAGAGACAGGGTCTGGCACAGGCTGGTTTCGAACTCCTGACCTCGAGCGATCCACCCGCCTCGGCCTCCCAGAGAGCTAGGATTACAGGTGTGAGCCACCGCGCCCGGCCAGAATGGGTCTCATTCTTGCTGAGGCTGAGAGACCTGATCTTTCATTTTAAATTGTTATGAAAATATCCCTAATGTAAATTACATTCTTGATGCAATTAATGCCCACTGTTCAGACAGAATCATTTGGAGGTTAAAGAGTGAGTTGCTGAGCTTGATTCTTTTCTACAGTTGTTCAACTCAGTTTAGGAATGTGTATAAAATAACATCTTTGAAGGTGATATAAATATTTAGGCATAAAGTTCCTGGAAAGTACCATAACATACAAACCTTTAACCCATAGTTATTAACCTACAATTATAATCGGGGGTGAATTATGGCAGAGACAACTTGGAACACTGCTAGTAATTCTAAAAATTTCCTATTTTTATGGAAAAAACAGGAGCATTTAGATAATTTTCTTAGATTTTTACCATTCTTTAATATTTACATTTGGCAATGAGAATCAGATAGTAGAATTTCTGTCATCCTAGTTCAAGCTAATGTTAAGTAGAGATTCTTGGATATCTCATTTAATGAGGATTTACTTTGTTAGTGTATTAGTAGTTTGCCTATAAACAAGAGCTTGAAAACACTTCCTTCAACTATTTAAATGTTCATCTAACCTTCCTGGTCAAAGGAAAACTTTAGCCTTTGTTAAAATAGTATACAGCAGTGGTCCCCAACCTTTTTGGCACCAGGAATTGGTTTCCAAGGTTTCAAGGAATTGGTTTCAAGGTTTCAAGGAATTGTCCCCCAAAGGACAATTTTTCCTTTGGGAGATGGGGTTTGGGGTGGGCAAGTGGTTGTTTTCTGGATGTGCAGTCAAACCTTTCTGCTAATGACAATCTGTATTTGTAGCCACTTGCCATCACTGCCTCAGCTCCACCTCAGATCATCAGGCATTAGATTCTCAGAAGGAACGTAAAACCTGAATATCTCTCGTGAAGTTTACAGTAGGATCTGCGTTCCTATGAGAATCTAATGCTGTGGCTGATCTGACAGAAAGCGAAAGCTCAGATGGTGATGTGGGCTGTAAATACAGATGAAGCTTTGCTCACCACTCACCTCCTGCTGTGCGGCCTGGTTCCTAACAGCCCAGGGACTGGTACTGGTCCATGGCCTGGGGGGTGGGGACTGCAGGTATATAATATATTTATTTACCAGGGCTTAATATAATTGATTCTAGAATCCTTCCTTGTTGGCCATCATTTTTTTTTTTTTTTTTTTATCTCCAGGATTTATGCTGTATTTAAATAGTCTTTTTGTCCCCTCGTTTCCTCCTGGTTTAATTTGAGAATATTGATGGGCCAAATGTTAATTTGAAGAAAGAGTACTGCAGAAGGGTCTGGGCAGGCATGTAAGAAACTGACGTAGAAGACATGAAAGAATCTATACACTGTTAGTTTTTTTTTCTTTAGGAACTTGGGCCTTCTAAGACTAGTATTCTAATGTTTATCTCCTTTCTGAAATTGGACTTCTTGGGAGTTTTGCAGACTCAGTTAAGAGGAATATTTGATTAAGTGTACTCTTACCCATTGTTATCTCCCCTACAGAAATTAATTATTTTAATAAACAGAGTTTTAAAAAAATAAAGGTGAAAATTTTGGACTATGCTGAAAACATTATATATAAATCAATTGCTGAGAGTTTTTGTTCCCTTTCCCTTAGCCCTGTATATTTTTCTTGGTTTATTAATTTCATGCTACCCATTGTTTAGTTATTTTGTTTTTTCCTTTTCCTTTCTTCATCTTCTAGGCTTTCAACTTCAATTTTTTCTTCTAGTAAATTAGATTCTTGTGGCAGTGTACTTCTTGTTGGTTTAAGAACCCTACCTACTTCCTCTATATGACCTCTCTTCCGCCCTCAAAAAGCAAAGTTGGTAGTTTTAGAGAAGTTTATATTGTGTATGTTTTTAAAAAGGTATGATTTTTACATTTTAATTTAATACAGATAACAATGTTAAGTGATAATTAAAATAAGCATTTTCAATTCTTTTTGCTTTTTATTCCTTACAATAAAGCTTTATACATCTTTTTTCCTGTTTATTCACAAAAGAAAGGTGGTGGGAGAAGCTGTGGAAGATTCCTGAATGCATTTGGGGATGGGATGATCAGCTGAAACACCATGTTCCTAGCCAACTCGCTTTCCAAGGTGGTGTGACTAAATCTGACCAGCTTCTCTCTAGCTTGGCTGAGTGTGCCAAGTCACATTTACTATTTACTGAGTGCTTTAAAGATACCTGTTGTCATCTGTGATATTCGAAACAGGTGTTTTAAATTGATCTTGTAAAAAAGCTGGCCAAGCTTATTGCATGCCTTTGCCTTGCTTGCATCTTGGACTGTGGGTCAAATTAAGCTTTAAAAGAAATTAAAAATCAAAATATTTCATCTATTATATGTATGGGTTAAAAAAGATGGAAGCATTAGACAAGAACCTGACTATATTAATATGGGTTATGCTGGTTTGTTAGCATGTATAATGAAGGCAATATGTTAATGTAGAATTGACGATTTATTTTAAAGAACTTTTATAAATGGTTTATTTTTACCTTTACCAATCTTAATTTTATGTCAAAAAGCCTGAGTTAAATACTCCAGCCATGATCATGAATGCCTTTGTATTATGTAATGCTTTGTTTAAGTCTTCCTTTCTTTCTCTTTGTCCAAGAAATGTAACCTCACACCTGAGGCGACGGCATCTTGGAAAAACTAGTGATCAAGAATAACCAGATAAACATGATGGGCATAAGGGTCATGACCAAAAGATCTCTCAGTGGCATCTGTATCACTAAATATTAGGAATATTCATTCATTCAGTAGCCTTCTGTCTTTTTGTTTATTGTTGTAAGTGTGGAAGTGAACTGAATGCTCCATGATCCATCTTTAAAAAGTATTGCCTAACCTAAGTCACCAGCTTTTCTGTGGCATGGATATCTTGTCTTCTGAAGAACTGTTTTGCTTTTTTGGAGCATGTATGTTTGTTGTTTTGGAGCTCTTTGTATGAATTTATTAAATTCAGGTCATATTTTATCCTTACTTTTTAAAGTGCTTTTCTTTTTTTCTGTTCAGCTTGTGGAAATTATTACTGAGTTATTTAATCTTCTGTGTCAACGTATAGCTTGTTGATACAGTGTTAAAGAATTACACATTTGGAAAAACTGAAGGTGATTTTTCCAGGGGATATGTTTCCCTGACTTGACATTTCTCATGCAGTTTTTTCCCCCTGATTTGTTGTTCTTTACTATTCTATGCATAAAGGAGCAGTACAAGACTAGTCCTTAATGTTGGAGATAGCTGTTGTGTCACTTCCTCATGCTGACATATTTACTAGAGGGTAAAATTAATAGCCTTCTAGTAAGAGTGGCAGTCGAAGGGAAGGGCTCATCTGACTTCTGGAAACCTATGTTAAACTGTAGTGCTTTGGACCTTGATCATGGGCTAATAGGATGGAAATGAAACTAGGGACCAGATACACCCAAGGAAACTTTTGGTAGTTATTGTTCTTTGTAAATCACAGGGTCTTGCTGGTATACTTTCCTGTGTTCCTTAAATTACGTCTATTTGAAATTAAATTAAGAGAGAGAGGTTACTTTTCTTTTCCAGAAATAGTACTTGTTTATGCCTGTAATAGCAATGAAATTTAATAGGCTATGAGAATCAATGATTATTCTTTCTAATTGTTTAAATTACAAGGGGAGTTAAAAAAAAAAAACAGATATAGATGGTCTCTTGAAGCACAGAATAATATGATTATCAGAATAATATGATTATCATATTATAATATGATTATATATTTTTGTGTATCCCAGTTATGTTTTGGCTTTATGTTGATAAATTGAAAACTTGGTGTTTTTGTTTGTATTGTTTGATTTTTGTTTTTGGCTGTCTTGTGTCAAAAGGCATGTAGGGATGGTATTGATTATTCTAAATCATATTTACTGGAAAAGCTTTTCCAAAATTTTTGATACTTAAATGTTAACATTTTTCTTTTCAAAATAGTATTTTCATCTCAGCCTAGTGACGATGAATCAAGTAGTGATGAAACCGGTAATCAGCCCAGTCCTGCCTTTAGACGACGCCGTACCAGGAAGAAGACTGTTTCTACTTCAGAATCTGAGGAACAGCAACTTACTGCACAAGAAACTGAACCATCTAAGGAGTTGAGTAAACGCCAGTTCAGTAGTGGTCTCAATAAGTGTGTTATACTTGCCTTAGTGATTGCAATCAGCATGGGATTTGGACATTTCTATGGTAAGTTTTTGAAAGTTTGTTACATGTGAACTGATGACAAAGTGTAGAGTCTGAGGAATTCTGGGATCCATTTTCAGTGTCATCAATTAAATGTATGACCTTGGAAATTCAAAACCCGTTTGAGCCTCAATTTTCTCATTTGGAAAGTGAGTGTTGCCTATCTCACAAAACTGTTTTCACTTAAATGAGGCTGTAGTTATTAATTTAAGAAATAGAAAGATTATTATTATTATTTTTTTTTTTTTTTGAGGCAGAGTTTCACTTTGTTGCCCAGGCTAGAGTGAGTGCCGTAGCATCAGTCTAGCTCACAGCAACCTCAAACTCCTGGGCTCAAGCGATTCTCCTGCCTCAGCCTCCCGAGCTGGGACTACAAGCACGCGCCACCATGCCCAGCTAATTTATTTTATGTATATTAGTTGGCCAATTAATTTCTTTCTATTTATAGTAGAGATGGGATCTCGCTCTTGCTCAGGCTGGTTTTGAACTCCTGACCTCGAGCAATCCGCCCGCCTCGGCCTCCCAGAGTGCTAGGATTACAGGTGTGAGCCACCACACCCGGCTATAAAGATTATTATTAGCATGTGTGTTTCTGACTTTTTTAAAGTTAAAAGATTGGAAGATTGAAAATCTGAAATGCTCACCACGTGACAAATTATTTTAATTTAGAATCACAGTTAAATTTCAACAGTTAAACAGATTTGAACTGTGACTTTATTAGGAGGATCGTTTAAATTTCAGTTGAAATAGCTACATTTGAAATGTTAGTCCTAATGAAATAATTAGTCCTCATTTCTACTTGGAAGTTTCATGTAAGTATCATATTTTGTAACATTTGTTATTGCTTCTGTAGTTCACATGAATTGAAAATTGTTTGTCTTTAGTTAAGCTTTATGCTTTGCTCTGTTACGCTTATTAGTGTTTATGTATGTTGATTATCTTATTAATTCAAAGCCATTATTCCCTTTGGGTGAGAAGAAGAAGGTATTCCATGTGGTGGTGTTTTTTTCATTTAGGAGCCTCACCGTTGAATCTCTTATGTAAGGTATACATTTGTACAAAGGCAGGAGTATTGAGAATTGAACATTCACTCTCTTTGCTGTATTAGAATTTAGTGTGGGCACCTTAAAAAGAAATGTCTTAGACTTTGCCAACTTCACAAATTTTAATTCACCTTATTTTAACTACTTTAAAATTTTTTTGCATACCTGATCTACAGTTTAACTTTCTGTTTTGTTAGTTCCTTCCAGAAATGTGTTTCTTACACAAAGATCAAAGAATTGTGTGTACCCTGTGTTGATTTGTGGAAAAGATATATTACTCAACATAGTGTGATGTTAGAATAGACTTAATGAAGACAGTATTTGTTTATAGTCAGGCTGGGCGAGGTGGCTCACGCCTGTAATCCTAGTGCTCTGGGAGGCCGAGGTGGGTGGATTGCTCGAGGTCAGGAGTTCTAAACCAGCCTGAGCAAGAGCAAGACCCCGTCTCTACTATAAATAGAAAGAAATTAATTGGACAACTAATATATATAGAAAAAATTAGCCAGGCATGGTGGTGCATGCCTGTAGTCCCAGCTACTCGGGAGGCTGAGGCAGGAGGATTGAGCCCAGGAGTTTGAGGTTGCTGTGAGCTAGGCTGATGCCATGGCACTCACTCTAGCCTGGGCAACAAAGTGAGACTCTGTCTCAAAAAGAAAAAAGTCAGAGTTAGTAAAATATGTTTCTTACTGTTTTTAACTTTATATTAATAAAAGTATGTATTTAGACTCCTGATGGATGTTTGCTTGAATTTAATACTGAGATATTAAAATTTGCATCCTCTCTTGAGGTTTGTTATAATGAGATTTGATTTGAAATATATATTTAACTTTATTGACTAGCTGGAGCAAATGTTTTTTGAGTATGGTTTCCCCCCCACAAGTAAACATGAAGGTAACAAAGGAGAAAGTCTTGCCTTAATCATTTTTTCTTACTTAAAAACTGGATAGTGACTTTTAATGTTAATCTAAATTGCATTAAAACCTCACCATTTGCATGCTCTTTGAATATTTTGTAGAAAGATCAGTTTAGGGAGGAGTACTTTCAAAAGTGAGGTCACTTCTCTGTTATTTAAGATTTTGGTAACTAGTAAAATTTACTTAATTACAATTAAAACATTTTCCTGTAGTTTTTTATATTAGCATATTTAGAATATGAAAAGCCTGGATGATATAGTATGAAGTATGTCTATATAGTAAGGAGATTGGTTTAATAAACATGTAAAACGTAACCTGAATGACTTTTCAAAGTCACTCCTTAAAGGACATCTCATTTTTTCTTAATTCAGCATTGATCTCAATGCTCTTTGGAGTTGATTTTACAGCTAGTTTGAATTTCCCATCCATCTTCACAGTGAAGTCAGTCATTTGCTTTATAATCATTTAACAAAAACATACTATTAAATGAATTACTCAGAGCATTTGTCAACCTTGGCTCCATATAAATTTGGAGTGTCAGATCTATACTGGAAGAGAAAGCTAGTGTGGTTAAGAATAGTAAAATAGTGTACTCCATGTATTCCAGGTACTTGGCATGTTTGAGGCTCTGAAAATGCTTCCAGAAGTTTTTAAAAAAATGTTCATGTATGAAGCAATCTTTTTTATTCTTGTCTTTACTTGTGGACTATGTTCTAAATCATCAGTGGAGTTCAGTTGATTTAGTTTTTTCACAGAATTTCTTTAAATATTCGTAGGCTGCCTTCCTCTTCAGGCAATGTAACAGTGTAACTAGATGCTAATTTATGTAGCACAGACATGAATTACAGCTCAAAGAATGCACTTACTGAGTCATCCTGAAGGTGGTAGCATTTAAGCTGGGTCTAGTCATAGTAAGCTTATGACAGGCCAAAGGAAAGGTAGAAAATTCCAGCAAGGAGAACCTTGATAACCTAAGGAAGAGATAAACTTGGATTTGGGAGCAGTGAGAAGACTGCCTGGGCTATAGCAGAATATGTATTTAGAAATAATGGAATAGGTGGAGTGCTATTACAGTCAGTTCGCCCCACAGTATAGATAGGCCATGGGTTCCAGGACAGTCCCCCATGCTCCCACCATAACAAAATCCACTGTGTACTCAAGTCCCATGACTAAAAGCCACATGTAGGAAAACTTGTCCCTCCATGTATGCGGGGACTCTGCGTTTAGTTGAAAAAAATCTGCATATATGTGGGGACCTGCAGTTCAAACCTATGTTGTTCAAAGTTCAATTATATGTTGTGAAATATACTAGAATCTGGTAGGTGAGTTTGATTTGAGTGACCCGACAGCAGTAATTTTAGAGGAAAAAAGTGCAGGAAGGTAAGTGGTATGGGAAAAATTAGAACAGTTAGGTTTGTAATCAGATATTAGTTATGAGGGCCATGACGATTGTAGTGACAGTGGGGATGGAGAGAAAGTTGGTAATATAAGGGACACTGAAGGAAAAATGGAAAATAGGACTTTGAGCCTGGATATGTGGGATCAAATGGTGGCTTATTATGTCCTAGAAAGTGTACTAGCTGCATCACATTTGGAGTTAGGAGTTACTGAGGAAGGGTTTTGCCAGATGAGAAACATAGTTTGGTTTGTTTATACCCAATTTATTCTAAAATGGTTTGGGGCAGGTATTGAAGTTTGATTCTTTGTCCATTCCCCCCACACAAAGAGGCCCTAAAACTGTGTCCAACAGGCAGCTGGACATATTCGCTGGAAGCTCGGGTGAGGGCTAAGGACTATATCTGTAGATGAGAAGTCTTAACTGGAATGATAGCAAAAACTGACAATGGGTTAATGTGGTAAGATAAGCAGCATTTCTAGGTATGACTAGAAGGCCAAGATTGTATCTTGTGTGGTAACACTTTATAGTTAAGCAGCTGAATGTGCAGGAAAAAACCCCCAATGATTAGTTAGTGAGACTGAAAAGGGCCACATGAAGACAGTTATCAAGAACATGGCATCTAATTCACATCTCGACACAGTTTCCAGCGGGCAAAGGAATTGATCTTATTAGCAGTTTGAAATAGAAAGTTAAAGGTTTTCTGTTACTCTGGGAACTATAGATAAATTTCTTTCAACATCTGAAAAAATCTGAGTTTTTTGAGTAACTTTGAAACAAGTTTGCCATGCTTCTTTCTATAAATTGGAAAATTTTAAGAGAGGAAACAGATTCTAACACAGAGTTTCTTAGTTGTTAACTAGCATTTAGAATATCTAACAATTGTCTGTAAATTGGAAAATTTTTTTTAGTATTTTTCAAGATGTATTGAAGAAATTAAAAAATAATTTTTATAGCAGTAAGGGAAGAAATAGTAAGCAATCATTACATCCTTTTGTTGTAAAATTCTGTGATATCTGTACATACTGAGTGGTATGCCCACTTAGTAGATGTAGGATTAATGTTGCTGAATGCATTTTGCCTTATTTTTGATTTAGTGGGTTTTTTTCCCCCTCATGTGTGAATATAGCAGCATTGTGAACAGCATGTTTTGGCAAAGTAACACTTTGACTTTTGATCAGAAAGATACATGAAGAAGAATGATAAAAGAATTATTTTAGGGTGAAAATATAGAGAATCCTAGTTGGTTTATGGTTCCTTTATCACTGCTGGGATAAGGACAGCGGTACTCCAGTACAGATCTAACCATTGCAGAATTCTTAACAGATTTGGCTTTGAGAATGGCATATAATCACTGGCTAGCCAATTATTTTCTGTGCTATGCTTTATATCCTTTAGGCAAAAATGTTACAAAAGACAAAAACTTTTCATTTTCCCATATTGACTTATAAACTGAAAAGACACCATGGTTCATTTCTTTATAAGGGAGGCTGAAACACTTGCTGTACTTAAAAGATCCCCTCAAAACATCAAAGCTGAGTGCCTTCAATATAGTAACATAAGAACATTATATAAATTGTTATCTTTGGTAAAGAAGTACAGGCTGGCTTGTTTTAATCAAAAAAGATAGTGAACTGCTTAAATGTTTCTGGGTTATTGCTAAATAAATATTTTGAAAACCCAGTTGGCTTGACTTATGTTGCGGTTTACATCCTACCACCATTTGATGAATGACATGAGTTTTCACTTATTTATTCTTTATCTGTATAATCGAATGACATCATGAGCTTTCACTTATTTATTCTTTATATAATCAGTTTGCTTTTTTTTTTTTTTAAGAGTCAGGGACTTGCTCTGTTGCCCAGGCTGGAGTGTAGTGGTATGACCATAGCTGTGTATCCTGGAACTCCTGGGCTCAAGCAATCAGTCCTCCCACTTTAGCTCTCCAAGTAGCTGCGACTATAGATGTGAGCCACTATGCATGCCTGGTTAATTTTTTTTTTTTTTTACTTTTTGTAGTGATGCTATCTTGCTATGTTGCCCAGGCTGGTCTTGAACTCCTGGCCTCAAGCAACCCTCCCAACTTGGCCTCCCAAATCACTGGGATAACAGGTGTGAGCCACTGTACCCAGCTTATAATCAGAATTTTTAAAGAATTGTGAAGTGCTGATACTTTAAGAAAATGATACTGTCCAGATTAAGTAGTTAGATTATATACAGATTAAATTTTTATGTATTTTAAAATACCGGTAATAATATTTGTGTTATACCTCATAAAAATTTTCATTTTAGGAACAATTCAGATTCAGAATCGTCAACAATTAGTCAGAAAAATACATGAAGATGAATTGAATGATATGAAGGATTATCTTTCTCAGTGTCAACAGGAACAAGAATCTTTTACAGATTATAAGGTTTGTACCACTAACAAATATTAAAAACTATTATTAGCCAGTAATTATACTATTTAGATGCATGTACAGTGCAGGTTAGTAAATCAGTAATAATGCTGATAATTGATTGATTATAGGTCATGAGTGTTTCATACAAATATTTCTCTTATTTCTCACAATATGTGAATTGAACAATTATTAACTTCATTTTACAGCTGGGAAAGAGGTTTCAGAAAGGTTAACCAGCTTTCCCAAGGGTACTGATTAGCAGAGCTAATTTGATTCCAAGCATCTGTCTTCAAAGCCCTTATTCTTTTTTTTTTTTTTTTTTTTTTATTTGAGACAGAGTCTCACTTTTGTTGCCCTGGCTAGAGTGAGGGCCATGGCGTCAGCCTAGCTCACAGCAACTTCAAACTCCTGGGCTCAAGCGATCCTCCTGCCTCAGCCTCCTGAGTAGCTGGGACTACAGGCATGCGCCACCATGCCCGGCTAATTTTTTTTTTATATATATATCAGTTGGCCAATTAATTTCTTTCTATTTATAGTAGAGACGGGGTCTCGCTCTTGCTCAGGCTGGTATTGAACTCCTGACCTTGAGCAATCCGCCCGCCTCGGCCTCCCAAGAGCTAGGATTACAGGCGTGAGCCACAGCGCCCGGCCAAAGCCCTTATTCTTAACTGCAATTTAAAATTGACATTTTATATATGTGTATAGACATTATTAGCATTATTTTCACAGAGCTAAGCAAAACATTTTCATTCAGTGGGAGAGAAAAATGAGAGTTGTGGTTTTATTCATTTTTATTTATATATTATATATTTATTTTATTTTATTTTTTGAGACAGGATTTTGCTTTGTTGCCCGGGCTGGAGTGCTGTGGCATCAGCCTAGCTTACAGCAACTTCAAACTACTGGGCTCAAGCGATCCTCCTTCCTCAGCCTCCTGAGTAGCTGGGACTACAAACGTGCACCACAAAGCCTGGCTACTTTTTTCCATTTTCAGTAGAGATAGAATTTTGCTCTTGATCAGGCTGGTCTTGAACTCCTGAGCTCAAGCAATCTTCCTGCCTCAGCCTCCCAGCATGCTAGGATTACAGCTGTGAGCCATCTTGTCTGGACTCAAGAGCTGTGGTTTCATATTTTCTCCAAGATTTTCCCTTGATCAGGGGAAATGGCTATTCCTTTTTATTTCTTTCTTGTTAGTTCTGATGGAAGGGATGCATGTTATGTTTTTCTACCTAAAACTCACCTACATCTAATAGGACTTTACTGTCTGTTTTGTCCAGTTACCTAACATCTTTGTGGATTTATGAGGACCAGCAAAATAGCTAGTCTCCTATCTAGTTCTTTCCTAGGGATGGTGTAGGGATTGTAGATAAGCTCCAGATAGAAAAGTAAGTTGCTTTTTCCTTCCGTTCCACACACCCCCTCCCATCTCCTTCACACTTAATTTATGTATGCCTCCTTTATAGGTTATGATTTTTTGGGAAGACAGAATACCACTTTATATCCAAATTGTATTTTTTAGGGGAATACTACTGGTAGCTGATTATAGTGTAGTTTTCCTGCCAGTATCAGAACATGTCATTTTCTTCACCACAATGGTTTTTGGTTCTATAGGATGACGTTGGTTTTTAGGAGACTCACCAAGCATAAATCTATAGAGAGAGTCAGTTTTTGCAGATTTCCTATTTCTAGCTGTTAAATGTGGATCAGATGTTGAAACTCTTGGGAAGACCTGCTGAGGATCTGCTTATCAATCCCTTATTTGAAGATCATGTTACTGGAGGAGCAATGCTGTACTCTTCTGTCATTCTGTGGCTTCCTGTTCTTGTGTATTTTAAGATTGTGCTACAGAAGTCTCCTCCACAGTCCACTGCTGTTGGGTAGAAGAAACTTGTTTTCTGTCATGTAGGTAGAGCAGAGGAAATGACTGCGCTTAAATTTTAAATCCTAATTTGTTCTCTGAAGATTAATGAGCCAGAAAGTGAAGAAACATTTCAAATTGTTATTTTTCAAGTGTAAAATAGTGCCATTCTCGTAAAGGATTGATTTTTTTTTTTTTTCTTTTTCTTTTTTGTTTGTTTCTGAAACCAGATAATTTTACTGGTCTGATTCAAATGTGATAACCATAATGTTTGTGGTAAATTAAGCCAAATTTAAGTATCATTTGGCAGACTTATACATAAGATATTTTAACTGGGTAATGCTATAATACCTATTTGAAGCATATTGTTTAATTTTTTCTGTTTTTTGTTAAAATGTGTTACTAATGCATATGTGTGAAAGCAAAATCAGATCAGTGGAGGCTACCTTGAACTTTAGTAAAATTCTGTTAGTCTACCTGAACACGATTTCTATCATGTTTCTGACTTTCAGAGTTATATTAATCTGTATGGATTACAGAGCTGCTGTAATCTGGGCTACAGTCATTTCAGAAGTTTACTTAAAATTGGGGAAATTAGTTTTAAATGTTACCAAGATTCAGCCTGTCCTCTAATGTGCTTGTAGAATTTATGACTTCCTTGCACTTATTAGAAATGTTAGCTTGCATAGGACTAAAATGTTTCAAATAGGACTAAGATTATTGAAATGTTTCTTCCTTCAAAGGGTACACTGACTACAAACAGAATTTTCTGAAGCCTGAAATCAGCTCTAGATGTAATTTTACTTTTTATAAAAGATAATCTCTCTCCCCAAGAATCAGAAGCCTTTTCCTGCCTAAATTCCCTAGGAACCTTTTCAGGAAGAGAGTCCTGTGGTCAAATGATGGACTTTTCTCCTAATTTTTATAAAGGGGCCAAGAAACCAGTAAGAACTTCATATGATTATAGGAAACAGTAATCAAAAGTATCCCTATTGCTATTTTAAAAATCCTTTTAGGGATAAACTGAGCTGTAGCTAACTTTTCTGTCTTTAAATTCTTCCACTACGCCATTGTTCTTAATTTGATGTAGCTGTCTGCTAAGCATTTTCTTGCATATAAACCTTATACTACCCAAGGGACAGTATCTATGAAAGTAAAGCCACTAAACTTTATGGGGTGTTATATCTAAATGATTTAAATACAGCTTTTAAAGCAGTTGACATTTTTCTTTCTTCTCTCTCAAAAAAAAAATTTAGTCATTGAAAGACAACCTTGCAAGGTGTTGGACCGTTACTGAAGCAGAGAAGATGTCCTTTGAAACTCAGAAAATGAACCTTGCTACGGAAAATCAGCATTTAAGAAAATCTCTGGAGAAGGAAGAAAAAGCCTTGTCTTCATTACTGCAAGAGTTAAGCAAACTAAGAGAACAGATTAGAATATTGGAAGATAAAGGAACAAGTACTGAATTAGTTAAAGAAAATCAGAAACTTAAGCAAAATTTGGAAGAGGAAAAGCAGAAAAAACACAGCTTCCTTAATCAAAGGGAGACCCTATTGGCAGAAGCAAAGATGCTAAAGAGGGAACTGGAGAGAGAACGACTAATGACCATGACTTTAAGGGTGGAACTCCAGCAACTAAGTGCTAGTCAGACACATGGCAACTCAGATTCTTCCAGTGTATTAACTGAACAAAAGGAAATAGTAATCTTACGGGAAAGACTCACTGAGCTGGAGCGGAAGCTTAACTTTGAACAGCAGCGTTCTGATTTGTGGGAAAGACTGTATGTTGAGGCAAAAGAACAAAATGGAAAACAAGAAGCTGATGGAAAAAAGAAAGGGGGTAGAGGAAACCACAGGGCTAAAAATAAGTCAAAGGAAACATTTTTGGGTTCAGTTAAGGAAACATTTGATGCCATGAAGAATTCTACCAAGGAGTTTGTGAGGCATCATAAAGAAAAAATTAAGCAGGCTAAAGAAGCTGTGAAGGAAAATTTGAAAAAATTCTCAGATTCAGTTAAATCTACCTTTAGACATTTTAAAGATACCACCAAGAATATCTTCGATGAAAAGGGTAATAAAAGATATGGTGCTACAAAAGAAGCTGCAGCTGAAAAATCAAGAACAACTTTTAGTGACTATTTACATCCAGAGTACAAAGCACCTACACAGAACCAGAATTGTAGAGGCCCTACTAGGCAAAGAGATGGAAGGAAAGAAAAGCCAGTTCACTTTGAAGAATTCAGAAAAAATACAAATTCACAGAAAGGCACTGCTGAGCATGACTGTAGGGAAAGTTATCCTTTTAGAAAGGCTTGTTCCGGTGTATTTGAATGTGCTCGACAAGAATCCATGAGCCTTTTTAATACAGTGGTGAATCCTATAAGGATAGATGAATTTAGACAGTTAATTCAAAGGTACTTATTAAAAGAGCTGGATGCTTTTCATCATTGGAAAGAACTTGATCATTTTATCAATAATTTTTTCCTAAATGGTATCTTTATACATGATCAGAAGCTCTTCACTGACTTTGTTAATGATGTTAAAGATTATCTTAAAGACATGAAGGAATATCAAGTAGATAATGATGGAGTGTTTGAGAAGTTGGATGAATATATATATAGACACTTCTTTGGTCAAACTTTTCCCCCTCCATATGGACCCAGGTCGGTTTACATAAAACCATGTTACTATAGTAGTTTCTAACATTTGTAGATTGGATAACATTTTGATTTGATGAATTTCTTAAAAGGTTAATATTTATAAGATATGCTTTATTGCCACTGAGAATTTAGAATAAATTGAAAGCTTTAAAATTATAGCTATTAGAAGCTGATAATTTCATATCACATAATCATTTGGACTTGATTTAATTTCTGCCTTAAAAATCAGTTAAGAAGGGCCTGGGTAGCTCAGTCGATAGAACATCAGACTTTAGTTAAGGATATATAAATCTTATTTTGCCATATTTTGTTTCAGTATATTCTTAATGAAAAGATAATTACCTGAAGTGAAATTATTTTCCTGTAATCTTTTATTTATTTACTCACCTAAGGAAGCTAGGAGTGAATAACAAATTTTACTCTGAAATCAGAAGAGCTCATACATAACAATTCTAATATCCCATCTCTTTTCATTTGTCTATTGAATATACTAGCTTAATTATGATAATACTTATTATAGAATTATTGTTGATAGAGGCATGATCAAAGAGGCAAACATGGCAAGCCAGAAATTCTAATTTGTGTGTTTCATAATAACTTTTTATCCATTGTTTATCAGTTTTATATTCTGTAACATGTAACTTGCTTAATCTTCAAATGTTAGCTTCACTTTTTACCTTTGAGATACTTATATCTTTCTGAATAAATGTAATGTGTCTATAAAATAATGAGACTGATTCTGGTGTCTTTAGTCATTAAGCAGATACCTAGTGCTATAATGAACAAAGTGTTGTGAGGCTACCTTGAGGAAACAAATGAAAAAACTTTTGCTGTAAAGGAACTTAACAAGCTAGTTAAATAAAAGAAATGAAATGAAGGTATGGAGGCATGTATGTGGTGGCCTCAGGCTCTCTGGAGATGTTCGGAAGGGCTTCATGAGTGAGGTAGCCTTTGAACTGAACTTGGTTTTTCAGTTAGCTTTTGAAAGAAATGAGAATTTGCTCTGTAGTTGTGGGAGGGCATTTCACTTAAAGGGAAGGTCATCTGCAAAGACTTGGAGATGTGAAGACATAACTACTTTAAGGAAGCAGGATAGTGCTGGGGAATTAATAAAGGAAGATTCAGATCATGAAGGGCCTCATTTTTTGCAAAAGGATTTGTCCTATGGTCCATGGAGAACCTCTGAAGAATTTTGGAGTGGGGTGAGATAAGTATTTTGGATTACAGTAGTCTCCCCTTATCTTCAGGAAATGTATTCCAAGAACCCTAGTGGATGGTTGAAACCAAGAATAGTACAGAATCCTATATATACCATATATGAATTTCTTTTTTCACAATTTCATAAATTAGAAGATTCTTGTAATAGCAACCTTAGCATACAGATTTTTTTTTTCTTACTGAGGATTTTCACCTTTTCAATTAAAAGGAAGCACTTTACAGCTTCTCTTTACCATATCCTAATTGCCAGCATCACCACTTTTGCACTTTGGGGTCATTTAAGTAAAATAGGGGTTACTTGAACACAAACACTGTGATACCAAAACAGTGGATGTGATAACCAAGATTGCTACTAAGTGACTAATGGGCAGGTAATATGGATGGATACACTGGACATAGGGATGATTCAAGTCCCAAGTGGGACAGAGTGGGACAGCATGAGACTTCATCACACTACTCAGAATGGGAGTACAATGTAAAATGTAAGAATTATTTCTCAAATTTCCCATTTAACATATTCAGACTGGTTGACCACCTTAACTACAGAAAGTAGAACTGAGTAAGAGGGGACTACTGTAATGGCAGCAGCCTGGAGGATTGATGAGAAAGGTGTGAAGCTAGAAGGTGGTCAGTACAATACCTGCATCAGTTGATGAGTACCTGAACTGGAACAATAGTAGTAGGTGTAGAAAGGAGGACACAGAGTTGAACAGATGATAAAATCGGTATTTCTTGTGAAAGAGAAGTAGAAAGTAACCATGACGTCTAGATTTGTGGGTTGGGTCACCTGTGGGATAGTGTTATCACTAAGATACAGAATACGAGATGGTTTTGGGCAAGGGGAGTTGGAGATGAGGAGTATTTGGAAGTACCTATTAACACTGAAGTGGAGAGGGTTAGTTGGCAATTAATTATATGCCCATCTCTTGCCCAGGTTGTGTGTGTGTGTAGATAGTCTAGGCTGGAAGTATTTATTAGACTCCTGGGGGAACACAAACATCTGTGGGGTTGTACAGGAGGCTGAGAGGACAAGAGTGGCATCATGAAAATCCAAAGGTCAACTCAAGAAATACTTAAATGTGTCATATGCCTTTAAGAAAAGTTGGCTGGAAAATGTTTCTTGGCTTAGGAATTGGGTGGCCTTTGATGGCAGTATGGACTTTTAGGAAAGTAGTGAAAGAAGCCTGATCATAGAGACTGAAGAAAGCAGTATAGACATTGTGAACTTTTGTTGTAAGAGAGTAAGTTAGAGACTTTTGCTTTGTTTGTAAGCGATGTGTATGTATTTCTGCTGAGGGATAAAGCCAATGTGGAGGGATTGATTTTTCCAGGAAAGGAGGAAAAATAATGGAAACACATCTCATTATTTTATTGTCACATTTCTATTCTTTATATGTTGCATGTGTCCCTTTTTTGCCAGGACAGTTATATTTGTCCATTTTTTCTTGCTATAGGATAAAAAAAAACAGTGTAATACTGAATCCTTAATTTTTTTATATAGCTATACTAGAATTACACCAGATTAATTTAACATTTTTTTCAGTGTTCACATAATAGATTAATGGAGGAGAACATTAAAATTGCTTTTAATTTAAATAAATTGAACTCTAACATAGATGAAAAATGTGTTTACTGCTTTCAGTCGACCTGATAAAAAGCAACGTATGGTAAATATTGAAAACGCCAGGCATCGAAAACAAGAACAGAAGCATCTTCAGCCACAGCCTTATAAAAGGGAAGGTAAATGGCATAAATATGGTCGCACTAATGGAAGATACATGGCAAATCTTGAAATAGAATTGGGGCAATTACCTTTTGATCCTAAATATTGATTCATGATTAAGTTAAATTAGACAACTGTAAGAAACATAGATGCTTTCTACAATGTTTGGTGTTGAAACTAAGATGAAATTATCAAGATGACAATGTCTTTTTTCCTTCATTTTAAAGTATCAGTTTGACGACTTTATATTATTACTCAGAAGCATCAATCAAAAGCCTACTAACTGCATTTTCCTGTAGTTTAGCTTTGTTGAATTTTTTTTAGAACTGGAAATGTTCAATAGTAGTTTTATTAAGGAAGCCAGGCATGCAACAGATTTTGTGCATGAAATGAGACTTCCTTTCTATGTATGAGCTTAAAGTAAGCTCCAATCATACATGACAAAGTGTAATAACATTGATGTTTGTGTTAAGTTTACAGTAGAGCTTGAAAAAAGTACATTGTGATGGAATTTCATCTTTAACATTTTATAATCTTATATTTGCTTCTTGTCTTTTTGTGGGTTCAAGAGCCCGTTGACTTGTGAAGAATTTGCTGCCCTCTTTTGAGCTTGCTGACTTGTTCTCTTGTGAAATTTCTTGCACATCTGAATATTGTGGAAGAAACAATAAAACTACTCCATGAGGAAAACTAAAGGTCTTTATTTAAAATCTGGCATTGTATTAATATATGGTTTTATACTATGTGATATTTTATTTCCTCAGTAGTGATATTTGGTAAAGCAGTTCATAGTGTTTTCTTCCAAGTTCCATGAATCTTACCCAGTGTTTACTGAAGTATTGAAGCAGTAGCTGAATATTTCCATCCAGCAATGTCAGTTTCTCTAGGAAAGATCTAAACACAGTTCAGAATTTCATCTTCAGTTGAATTTCCCTTTTAACTTCCGTTCATAGACATATATATGACTTCCAATTCGACCCTCCGGCAAGTGAGTGTGGAAGAAAACAGCAGTTCTCTCATAATTGCTTGAAATTAGGAAAGCGCTTATTTCCTAGAAGTAAATAAATGTTTAAATAAAATAAAGGCTACATTTTGCTGAGTACTGTTTTATTGGTGAATTTTAGAATTGCCTATTGTAATTGCTTCTCTACAACTTTTTTCTTAATAAAATAATAAAATTTCTTAAAGAATTAACTTGTGGTAAGTAAAATATCTTGATAGTTACAGAACTAGGGCTTATTTTGACTGAGAAAAAGACCAATTATCAAATATGGGGGTTGAAATGGACCATAAAAAAGGTTATGTTTACTTGACTATTTGCTAAACCTGAGGTAAATAAAAATACCGAGCTTTCTTCTTTTTCTTGTTTACTTACCTCCTCCAAAACACTGAAGATGATTAAATGAGTAGGCAATGATGCATCATCCTGAAACTCTTTATGTAACCAGTTTAAGGGATTTAGGTAAAATATATCTGCTTCATCAAGATACTGACTTTTTCCAGTCAAGTCTGGGGGACATTGGAGAAATCTCATTGGAAGTGGGCAGTGAACATGGCTATGAAAAGAAAAGTTACCATAATAAATACAAAAAGTTAAAAAAAGAATGTGAAAGTTTTCTTCAGATATATCATGTACCCCTAGCAAAATGTGAAATCTGAATCCATAAACTGTGTTCCAAGTTAAGGTAAAGAAGCAAGCCTTTAATGCATTTTCTCAAAGATGGAAACATGCTTCTCATCTGTGAAGCTATGCAGCTGCAGCATAACCTGCAAGCCCACACTAAAGTGTGAAACTCCATTTCAAGGAGGGAAGTAGGTCAGTTAGCAGCTTGAGGGACTCAACATTTCCGTAGCATTAGTATGCTATTCCAGAAACCGAAGTGGGTCCAGGTAAGTTAACTTTTTTTTTCAGGTAATGCTTATTCTTTATTTTTTTATTTCAGCATATCATAGGGGTACAAATGTTTAGGTTATGTATATTGCCTTTGCCCCCACCCGAGTCAGAGCTCTAAGTGTGTCCGCCCCCCAGATGGTGCGCACAGCACCCTTTAGGTGTGAATATACCCATCCCCTCCTCCCCCTCCCATTTGCCCGATACCTGATGAATGTCATTACTATATGTGCACTTAAGTGCTAATCAGTTAATACCAATCTGATGGTGAAGTTAACTTGTTATTAGAGTAATTCTCCATAGCTTTATTTGGTAAAGCGGGAAACTATGGTCATCTGAAAGGATTCTGCTCTCTTCCCTTTCTGCTCACATCCTTAAATGGCAAGTTCTTCCTGTTGTTTTTTCTTACATGTTTATGTCATATTTAGTAATAGAGGCAAAATATGTTCTCTGATTAACATCCAAATAAGCAATGGTTATATTCTGGTATAGGAAGACTAGAGTGTAAAAAGAGAAATACATCATGACAATTTAATTTAGTTACTTGGGTCATGCAAAAAGCCAGGTTTATAACTGCCTCAGGAAAAATTAAACCTCACTGATAATTTCCAATTGGAAATAAAGTTAATTATGGAAATTGAGGTTTATCTGTGAATTGCACACAAAGTAAATTTACACAAGACCTAATATTTCATGACTTTTATTCATTGGAGATTATGGTCTTGTTTTAAAGGGAAAGGAGAGGCCAGGCGTGGTGGCTCACGCCTGTAATCCTAGCACTCTGGGAGGCCGAGGTGGGCGGATTGCTCGAGGTGAGGAGTTCAAAACCAGCAAGAGCGAGATCCTGTCTCTACTATAAATAGAAAGAAATTAATTGGACAACTAATATATATAGAAAAAATTAGCCGGACATGGTGGCGCATGCCTGTAGTCCCAGCTACTGGGGAGGCTGAGGCAGCAGGATTGCTTGAGCCCAGGAGTTTGAGGGTGCTGTGAGCTAGGCTGACGCCACGGCACGCACTCTAGCCTGGGCAACAAAGCAAGACTCTGTCTCAAAAAAAATAAAATAAAGGGAAAGGAGAAATTTCTAAGAAAAATCTGCCAGCTTAATATTCCAGAGTAGGCATCAGACTTTTTTCCTCCATTGTGTGCTTTGAAAAGGTATCAAGATGAGAACTTGGTGAACTATACAAAGCCTAGACATCAACTACTACAACCATATATGGAGAATATCTTGATACCTCTATAAATTCCTGTTCTCTGCAGTATTAACACTAATGTGAACATGCAGGGAGAATGTCCTCTCATCTTTATTTTTTTATTAATATAGTAGGGAATCCAAGTTGAAAAGATACTTGAGGTCTTCTGTCTAGCTTGTGGATTTTGCCAGACAATCTCAATTTTCTAAATTGTGTTTTAATGATTGGCATTAATGATTTCAGTTAAGTATTCAAAAAATGTTATAATTCCCCTAAAATGATATCCATGGTGGTATTAAATTAACTGAATGTGCACATGAAACATTAACTCCAGATTGAGACTGAGTTAAACAGTGAATTTTCTATAAGAAAGCTGGCCGCTTTGCCCCTGTACCATTACTGGACAGCTGGTAACTAATACAGCTTTCTGAAATATAAGCATAGGACTAAATGGATGTCTTTTTCAGTGCCTTGAATAATTAAGGCAATTTTATTATTTTATATTTTCTAGACACACTTAATTCAAGCATTCGAATATCATCTAGCTGCATTCCCTAATTTTTACAAGTGAGACAAATGATGTCCAAAGAGATTTTAGAAGACTAGTTTAAGACCAGAGCAATAATCCAGTAGTAAATCTGGACTACAATTCAGTTTTTGAGATTAATTCAAAATTGTGTAAAAGATTTGTAGTAAGAGCAGTGATAAATCAGTTTCTTTACTAAGAAAACTATCAAATACCTATAAAATGTTTTATACCAATTTAAATAAAATTTTTAAGTGCAAATCATTTAAATGTTTAAAAATATAATAGTTTACAAGATTTTCACTGACAGTTCGAATGGCTTTTTAAAATCCATCACTGAATAAACATAGGTGCAAGTTTAGAATTTCTTATCATTTGATCAATGATCAATTCAAATCTAGGAATCTGAAAGGGAATTTTAAAGTAGTTTCATTTTCTTAATAGCACATAGTAGAACTTTTATTACCTGTAATAAGGAGTAGAGTGGCAAGGCATCATTATAAGTATTGAAGCTGAAGATTTATTGGGACTGTTGTAACAGACTTTTTGAATATAACTCATGACATCAAGAGTACCCCGTTGATGAACTAAACCAGTATAGAGGGCGAGAAGCATGTTTGATAAAAACAGGAAACTTAGAGCTGGTTTCTTCCATGTTTTCAGGTGGGTTATTGAGTATCCTATATGAAGACAGACACATTGAACTGTACACTGGCAGTCTTTTATTTTCTTATGTTACCTGCAAATATATTTATAATTTTTCATAGAAATAGCACAAACTGTAATACCATGATGGACAAATAAAAAATAAGTCATAATTTCTCTGACCATTCACTATCACTGTATTGCCATCTAGGTCTTTAAAGTATTAGAAAAAATGTCCAGTGCCTATTCTGGTACATAGTAGTTGCTAAATAAGTATGACTTTTAGGGGGGAGGGGGGCATGGGCAATATATGTAACCTTAACATTTGTACCCCCATAATACGCTAAAATAAAATAAATAAATAAATATGACTTTTAATTATTCCATTTACCTATGTCTTTAATCTCTCAAGCACTAGTAATGGATAGTTCATTGTGTAACGTCTCATTAATGTGTCCTCTTAGGAAGATAAAGCCATTGGACTTCTGGGAGATTTCTGGTGGTACATGTGTGAGTGGTGGTATGGATCGTTTTCTGAAAGAAGAGGACTAAGTCTTAAGTTTTTTTTTCTTTCACTATAGTGTTGGGCAATTTGGAGATGCTGAACAATTAATTTTTTTTTTAATTTGTGAAAGTAATTTGTGTGTGACAAAAAAACAAGTAGAACAAACAAAGGTATAAAAGGATAAGTAAAAGTCCTTCTCCCTGCCCTCTCCCACAAAGTCCTGTTTCCCAGCAGTAATCACTGATAATGAGCACATTAGGATCTGTTAAATACCAAAGAACATGCCTTTCCATTGGAAAAGAGGAAGCATATTAGTAAGCTTCCTTAACATTTTATTCATAGTTTACATATATTATTTCTGTGGAACCAGGTAATAGTTCTTTAGGAACTTGGGTATCCAGCACCTAAACCACAGTCTGCCCAAAAATGTTAGCACTAATACCCACTGGAGCTAAAGCAGTGTTTTCTACTTTGTTCCTTGTCTATGAATATTTTAGATAACATTACCCATAGTTCATACTATTTAAGAGTTGGAATATCATATATCCATGTCACCTAGTACTGTTATTCTACTTGAAATACCTCTGATTAATCAAAGAACATTCTGAAAAGTGACGTGAAGAAAAGAAAAATGTAGCCAGGTCAAGAAAACTAAGCTAATCACTTAAAACTTACATTATAAGGTGTTTGAAATGGTAAAATGAAGAACCTACTAAAGAGGATGAGAACTAAAATTAGTTGTATTAGAAATAAAAGTATAGTGGGCATGTGTAAAGTGATTCATTAACAGTTTGTTCATGTTAAATTGTTCACTGAAAGTTTTATCAGAAACTATGGCCCTAGGGATACAGTTGTATGGGTGGGTGATTCAAAATGGGAATATGTGGTGATAAATGTTATGAAAATGGGAATCTGGGTAGAATGCTGGAAGATAACGTTCCCAGCATCTTTAGTACTGGAGAGAGGGGCGTCTCTTAGGTAATGCTTACCTTACACTTTTACAGTCTGGTGGTAATTTTCACTTTCTCAAGCTAGCTCATTTTAGGACAGATCATTTTAGTGAGCACTGAATCTCCATATTACATAGAAGAATGTAGCCAGAATAATGTCAGGTAATAGCTTAGTTTCCTGAGGAATAGTGGGTACTGATAAAAATTCACCATTCAAAATTGGCTTCTGCAACAATATTACAGATCAGATGAGCTTTGGTGGAATATTCTGGGAGCCTAACTGCATGTTAAAGTTATTTCTAAGGGAAAATGCATTTCAAATTCCAACTTGAAGTTTGGGTATAAAACCTTAATTCAAACCTGAGGACTGCCTTTATTTACATAAATTTTTAGCATCCTATAAGCATTACTAAGCATTTGACATATAGGGAAAATATCTTTAGAAATTTCCATTATCATCAAATGACTTTTGTGTACATGTTAGAAAAGAACCGGACTTCAACAGGTTCTTTTCAAAGAGTCTTGAATTTGAAATCTCCGAGGGGTTTTCAGAGCATCTGGCATTGAAAGTTTCCCAGTGGGATTTCAGAAACGGGAGTTGGTAAAGGGAGATTTGGGAAGACATTACTGTTCCAATGCTAGACAGAAGGAACCACAAGAGAAGCCTAGGACCCATGGTTTTCTTACAGGGAAATACTACTGTTTCTTCAATATAGTTAGAGATATATCTGAGTTATTAATAACATTTCCACTTTTAAATACTCTTTGAGAAAGCTGTTAGGTCAGCTAAGTTTCAGTGTTTACATGAGTAAAACAAAGGGTGGTTCAATTCTGGAGTAAGACATACAGAAGAATAAGGCTGGGGAAAAGTGAGACTTCGAACTTTTTTTTTTTCCTTGAGAACCACTGAACTAAGAGACTTTGAAATCTTAACCATAATGAGGGTACTGGGCACAGATGGAAGTATCAAGGAGAATTTTATGTTGCTATTTTGTTAAGAAAATAAAACTTTCTTTTCATCTTCCATAGAAGTCAATAGATAATATTTTAGACATGAGGTTCTTGTGACAAGAAAAGAAAAAACAAAAAATATCTAAAAAATTTCTAAGTGGCATTATAAGCATTTTATTTAGAGATATGGAGATAAATACCATAATAACCAGCTAAAAGAATATTCAAGTAATTGCTTTTGGGAAGTCAGAGCAGGGGGACTAATGATTTTTCAAACAACTGGAATGACTGGAATGAAACTGTGCATGTACAATTTTGATTAAAAGACTAGAATATGGAAAAACAAAGTGGACCAATCACAGAGAAGCAAGTCTGCATTTGCCACAGTGGTAAAAACAGATTAAGCAGACACCCAACCCAGAATTGGTACCAAGTGCTGGAAACCTGTCAGCACAATGACAGAGGTTCAATCTAAGAATTTGAGTGTTGCTAAACCAATAGCACTTTTCTTTTACAGATAAGTAAACTGAGGCACACCATTATACAGTTCACTAAAGATCAGAGCCAATCACAGAAGGTATGTTTTCTAGAATTAAGTCCTATTGTATAGGACTAAGAGAAATTCAAATTGGGCAACAGAAATTATTGTAGATTGAAAACATGGCTGCAATTATTCCTCTTCCTGTGTCCCATCCCATTATGAGGCTTGTGTTTATTTCCTCATCTCTTGAATCTGGCCTGGCCTTGTGATTCATGTTGACCAAAAGAATGTGGTGGAAGTGACAGTGAGCAAATTCCAAGCCTGGGTCTCAAAAGTCCTTGCCTACTTCTGCTCCCTCCCTTGGAACCTTGCCTTCCACCAAGTGAACAAGCCCCAGCCAGCTTTTTGGAGAACAAGAAAACAGAGAAGAGCTGAGATGCCTTGGCCTTTAGCCAGATGAACCCCAAACATGTGAGAGCACAGCCTAAGTCAATAGAGCTGTCTACCCAATCTGCTGCTGATCACATTTGCATAAGTGAGCTTAGCAGTGATAAGAACTGCCCAGTTGAACTACTTGTAAGTAACAATAATAAATGGATTTTTTAAGCCACTAAAGGTTTTCTGTTTTGTTTTGTTTTTGAGAGATAAGGTCTTCCCTCTGCTGCCCAGGCTGGAGTGTTGTAGCATCATCATAGCTCACAACAGCCTCAAATTCCTGGGCTCAAGCCATCCTCCTGTTTCAGTCTTCCCAGTAGCTGGGACTACAGGCATGAGTCACCACACCTGGCTAATTTTAAAAAACTTTTTTGTAGAGCCAGTCTCGCTATGTTGCTCAGGCTGGTCTCAAACTCCTGGCCTCAAGTGATCCTCCCAAAGTACTGAGACTACAAATGTGAGCCAGGTGGCCCAACCAAGTTTTGAGGTGGCCTCTTGCACAGCAATGGCTGACACAATTGTCATGTTTAGATAAAATCAGGCTAAAATAGTCCCATAAGAAGAGAATATAAAGCTGAGATTTGAGGTGTAATATAACTCAAGATTTCAGGTAGTTAGGAAAAACTCAAACTGGGTCACTTAAAACATCAAGAACTCCAAGGACAATTGTCTGGCTATGTTCCTGAATGTCCAAACACCTCTGTCTGGATGAGCCCACTTCTTAATTGATCCTATTGATCCTTAATTGAGCCTCTTAGCATTAAAGAGCTCTGACTCTTGGTGGAAGTACAGATCTCCTAAGAATCTTCTGGCCCACTCAAGAATCTTCTTGTCTGAAGGAAAAGATTACATCCTGTGAGGAGATCAGGGGGCTTTCTAGGTCTCAGTCCTTTAGGGATCCTTCAGAGTAGACACTAGATGGAAGAAGGGGTGATTCTTGTCCATTAGAAGGGACTCTCTTTGCCCCTGATCAGCATTTTATCTCAATCTTTGAGACTGGGAACAGGTTCTGGTTACAGGTATCCTGTCACTTAAAGATTTCAATCTTTTAGAATGGGAATGAGGTCTCAGACAACCCAATTTTTTCTGTAAATAAAGAAACAGGGCCACAGAGGAAGAATGTTGGAAAATCCAGTTCCTAAATTAAACAAACCACACACACTAATAATATTTGTCCTTTGGTACTCTAGCAGTGCTTGATTTAATTATAACTTATACTCGAGTGGCTGCAAAAACCAAAACACCACTTTTATAACCTGAACAGTGATTTGTGAATAGATTTGCTCCGATAAATGGGCCAATGAAAGGTGTGTCAAATAGCTGTTAGATGTATATATTTTAAAATGTGCCTGCATTTGTAAGACTATAAGGTAATGACAAATTGAGGCTTTGGTTTCAGTACTTAAGATGTACCAAATACATAAATATATATGTTTATCTCAATTGAAGAGTATATACATTTGAGATCTGCAGGAGCTGATGTATATACTTCATCAAGGGCTGCCTAATTCAGTGGGTGGTTTTTTTAAAAGTAACAAGTAAGTTTGAAACCTGTAACTCCCTAGTTTTTCCAGCATCCAGTTCTAGTTGGTTACTCATTTCTTCCCTATCTCAGTGATTTTTTTAAAAAGTCTTAATATTTGAAGGAAGCCAACAGTCATTTATTCTGAATTAAACTTGGAGTTAATAAAGTTTCAATTCATAATTTTTCCAAACCAGGCAATGTAAAATTCAGATTTTTCCCAAGCTGAGTCATATAAGATTTTTTAGAAGTCATAAGTAAAAAAATATATTGCAAAGACTGTGGATAAATAAAGAAAAGGTCTAAAAATCAGAGGAGTAAATTACTTGCATTTAAAACGTGCAAATTACTTGCAGTAAAACGTGCATTAGAGCACGTTTTAAAGGGGTAAATATTTTATGTGTAAAAGCATTAAAAACTAGTTTTAACAGCTATAAATATATTTTTCCTTTGTGAAAATCAGGACCCTTGCACTGTAACCATAAACTTAAAATAGCTATTTTAAAACAGACATATTCCTTTACTTTTTAGTGAGAGATTTCTAATAATCACAAGAAACACTGCCAAAAGAAGCTTTGGGTATTAGATTCTCATGTGGGTTTTTTTGTTTGTTTGTTTTGTCAGAGATGGGTATCTTGCACTATGTTGCCTAGGCTGGTCTTGAACTCCTGGCTCGTCCTGGGCTCAGGCAATCCTCCCACCTCAGCCTCCTGAATAGCTGGGACTATAGGTGTGCATCACCTATAGTGCCTGGCTAGGATCCTTATGTTTTTTTCTTATGTTATAGGATTCAGGAAAAAAGATACTTAGACTACCAAAAGGAAATATTGCAATAATATAATTTGCAATTAAGAAGTAATTCTCACTTAGCTTAGCTGAAAATAAAAATAAGCTGGGCATGGTAGCTCAGCAAAGAAAAATAGTTTGAGGAGTATGTATTGGCTTTTAACTATTTCTATATAAATTTTATTCCTATATTAAATGAAAACACTTACCACAGAACACCATACAAAATGGTAAAACTGGATAGATAAACCTGAATTCTTTATGGCTCAACATGCTATAATAAAAAAGATATTAAAAGAAAATTTTAAGTATTATTTTATATGATAGTTTGAGAACTTAATTATTTTTAAATTATAATTAACATGATCTATTTTTTTTATTATCGAGACTGGATTTCTTGCTTCAGGAATCAGTCTTATTATTTAGCTATAAATAATATAACTTAGTTATAAGGTGATTATGATGTGCTAAAACTAATCATAATATTGACGTCAATGTGAAATTATAAAGTACAACTGCATTCTAAAAAAGGGTTTCTACTTCCAATCCAAGTAAGTAATATCACTCAAGTTTTGGAATATTTTTAATTTTAGAATAGTATTTCTCTGGTCCTTCAATACTTAAGATTTTGATAGTTTTATTTTTTTAAAAAAGCAAAATCAGTCCAACTTCCTAAAAATTGAATATAATCCTTATTTAAGCAAATTGCATATTGAAAGTACTTAATCTGGGTACGTGCATAACTACTACTTCTGTCTTCTAAGATAATTCCCACTCACAAATCATAAGTTAATGCATCTCCAAAAGATAATCAGTTGACTTTTTGAAGAATGTAGTTAATTTAATTTCTTGGTGACATTAAAAAAATTAATAATTTGAAGAAATAAAATCTTACCTATAAACTAGCAGTGTCCATAGCATAGTCACCAAAAGTATCCGGTACCTCTTTGGTGCTAGAAAGCAGCCGTGAATAAAGAAGGGTAAATGAGTACCCAAGACAACTGGAAATCCTTGACTGAAGTACCAATGCCATGGGTGAGAACCATAAAATGTTCCCAAGTTCTGGAGTACGTTAAATTTCAAAAAATTAAATTGAACCAGAGTCCACTGGCATAGTTGAAGGAAAAAGAAATAGAAATATATTAGTGTCAAGTATTAATCTTTGGTATGTGGGAATTGATAGAATCTTTACAATAAATCAGGACTGAAGTCTAAAAACCAGGGAATGTTTACATCAATCATTTTGATTAGTGACTCTGTGAAATCCTTCTTAACTATTACTCTTTTCTTTAAGCTTTGATGTGTTCTTTGTTAATTTGAGATTCATTTTGAATCTCAAAAATTATGAGTAAATGTTCATATTTTGGCAATGTAAGTTTATATCCAATTAGAGGATACTAAAAAGTAATTTTTATGAGAGTATATGTGTGGTACCCATATAAAAATTTTACTCTAATACCTTATGATGTCACATATTACCTATTAAGATAAAACTTTGACAACATTACAATTTGAATTATAGCACAAAATAGATAATAAAGATAGCGACAAAAATAGCAGGTTAACACTAAGTGCTCACTTCTTAATACTTTCCTGCCTTTAAACGGACTCTTCTTAATATCAACTGGGAATACTAATTCTGTTATGTAGAAAACACAACAAATTGAACCAGAGGCATACTCTAGAAATCTTTTTTAATGTATCCTATATCATTTTAAAAAATGATTTGCCAAAATATTAATGGATCAAAAATCCAGGTTGAAAGTTTTTAGTACAATAAATGGTTAAAATAAAAATAGCTGTTAGCTTAATATATTTTTACTTACTTGGCCAAAGAAAATACGATCAATTATTAGAGACCAACTCAAAGTAACAAATCTGAAAAACAAAATAGAATGGTGATTCACATTCTGAATTGCTGAAAATTCAACACTGGCATGGGCTTGCAAGTGCCTTCCATCAAAAGCCACTTTAAAAACATTTTACAATTTCACCAACTGATTTATACATTTTGAAAGATGTTATCTATTGATAGGAATTATCAATAGGTCAGATTATTATATAAATATTAACAATATATTATAAAAACATAATCTTTGTCAAAAGTCAGCTAAGCATACTTGTGTGGGTCTATTTCTGAGCTCTCTATTCTGTTCTGTTGATCTCTGTGTTCTTTCTCAGTACCACACAGTGTTTTTTTTTTTTTTTTTCGAGAGATGGGAGTCTTGCTCTGTTGCCCAGGCTGGAATGCAGTGGCATGATCATAGCTCACTACAGCCTTGAACTCTTGGGCCCAAGCAATCCTCCTGCTTCAGTCTCCCGAGTAGCTGGGACTACACGAATGTACCACCACACCTGGTTATTGGGGGTCTTGCTCTTGCTCAGGCTAGTCTTGAGTTCCTGACCTCAAGTGATCCTCCTGCCTTGACCTCCCAGAGTGCTAGGATTATACACACTAGCCACTGTGCCTGGCCAGCTTTTAATTTTATCACAGGCTTTTTCTATATCTGTTGAGAAAATCATAGGATTTTTCTCCTTTTTTTTTTTTAAATGTCATGAACTATACTGGTCAATTTTCAAATGTTAAACCCAGCTGAGTGCGGGGGTTCATGCCTGTAATCCCAGTGACTCAGGAGGCTGAGGTGGGAAGACCACTTGACCCAGATGTGCAAGGCTGCAGTGAGCTATGATTGATCATGCCACTACACTCCAGCCTGGGCCACAGAGCAAGACCCCATCTCTTGGAAAAAAAAAAGAAAAGAAAAAACCTACTTTGAATTCCTGGAATAAAACCAATCTTGATTATGATATATTCTCCTTTTTAATATTAGTATTTCACTGGATTAAATTTGCTAATATTTGCTTAGGATTTTTACATTCATAGTTATGAGAAAAATTAGTTTATAATTGACCTTTCTTGTAACGTCCTTGCTAGATTTGAGTATCAAGGATATGCTGTCTTCATTTTTCTGTTCTGTGTAATAGTTCATGTGCATTGATGTTTCTTCTTTTTTAAATGTATGGAAGAATTCACCAGTGAAGCCATCTGAGCCTGATGTTTCTTTGTTTGAAGGTCTTAATTATAAATCAAATGTCTTTAAAATATATATATATATATATATATATATATATATATATATATAAAAGTGCTATTCAGATTTTCTATTCTTTTGTCTGTTTTGGTAAGTTCTATTTTTCTAGAAATTTGTCCATTTCATCCAACTTGTGAAATTTGTTAGGAAAGAGTTGTTTACAATATCCTTTTCTTATCTCTTTAATGCCAGTAAAACCTATAACGATGCCCCCTATTTCATTCCTGTCTTGCCAATAATAGGTGAGATAATATGGCAGTTGAAAGGCAACTGAACTATTTTTGATTGTACAAAATGACAATGATATCCTAAATTCTTAAGATCATGTAAAAAGTAAACAAAAATGGGTTTGTATACATTAGAATTTTTCTTAAAAGTAATTCAAGATTTTCTTTATATTTAGAGACACTACTACTGTTTGGATATGCAATTCGCTATTTTTAAAGCATGCTCAGTTAAGTAAAAGGTGATTAAACAGTTCAAGTCTGGGACCAACTCTATGCATCAAAGACTTGAGTATAAGGCTAATTAGGACTATGAGTGATACGTTCTACACTGTACAATTTCAGAGTATTTTCACATGCATTATCTTTTTTTTTTTTTGAGACAGAGTCTCACTTTGTTGCCCAGGCTAGAGTGAGTGCTGTGGTGTCAGCCTAGCTCACAACAACCTCAAACTCCTGGGCTCAAGCAATCCTCCTGCCTCAGCCTCCCGAGTAGCTGGGACTACAGGCATGTGCCACCATGCCCGGCTAATTTTGTCTCTCTATATTTTTAGTTGGCCAATAAATTTCTTTCTATTTATGGTAGAGATGGGGGTCTTGCTCTTGCTCAGGCTGCGTTCGAACTCCTGACCTCTAGCAATCCGCCCACTTCGGCCTCCCAGAGTGCTAGGATTACAGGCGTGAACCACCGCGCTGGGCCCACGTGCATTATCTTATTGGTTTTTTTCTATATTTTGCTTCAAAATAAACAAGACAAGCAGTTGATCTATATGACTAGATTCATTCAGGCCTTTTAAGCTTTAACCATGCTGATTCTCTGTGCCTGGCAAACTCATATTCACCTTTGATTTTATCTGAAACACCACCAACTTTATAAGGCTTCTGCTGATATTCCCCCAGCACGTAGGATTAGACTCATTATTTTCTCTTCTCCTAAAGCATTTTGTTATATACCCATATTAGAACATTGTAAATCGTTGGGTAATAATTATAGATAGTTCCAATGGTTCAACTTTTGATTTTTCAACTTTATAATGGTACCCATATAGCCATTCTGTTTTTCATTTTCAATAAGAGTATTCAATGAATTACCTGAGATATTCAATACTTTATTATGCTATAGGCTCTGTGTTTGATGATTCGCCCAACTGTAGGCTAACATAGGTGTCCTGAGCATGTTCATGGTAGGCTATGCTATGTGTGGTAGGTTAGGTGTATTAAATGCATTTTCAACTTATGATGGGTTTATAAACATATAACCCATTGTAAGTCAAGGAGCATCTGTATTGCTTTCCCCCTACAGACTTTAACTTTGGACGCAGATGATACATGTTACTCACTTCTGAATCATCAAACGCTTGATGCCAAGTAGGTTAAATGCTTATTAAATGAATAAACCATATCATATTACTGATGAGACTGAAAAAGCTTTTCATCTCCCTCAACTCAGTGTAAAAGCCTGCATGAACCGGGCCCCTGCTATCTCTCTGATCTCATGATCACATTTTCCCAAGCTCACTCTCCTTTAACCACAACAGCCTCCTTGCTGTTCCTGGAACATGCCAAATACACTTGGTACTTGCTGGTTTCTCTGCCTGGAATATTCTTTCATGAAGTATTGACATGGTTCATGCTCTCAACTCCTTTAGGCTTTGGTTTCAGTGTCGCCTTATGGTGATCTTCCCCAATTACCCTATAAAAAATAACAGCTCCCTCACCTTAGGCATTGTATCCTTATCCCACATTATTTTTTCTGATAATGCTTATCATCACTTGACATATAAATTTTTTTTTTTTTTTTTTTTTGAGACAGAGTCTCACTTTGTTGCCCAGGCTAGAGTGAGTGCCATGGCGTCAGCCTAGCTCACAGCAACCTCAGTCTCCTGGGCTCAAGCAATTCTCCTGCCTCAGCCTCCCGAGTAGCTGGGACTACAGGCATGCGCCACCATGCCCGGCTAATTTTTTCTATATATATTAGTTGGCCAATTAATTACTTTCTATTTATAGTAGAGACGGGGTCTCACTCTTGCTCAGGCTGGTTTCGAACTCCTGACCTTGAGCAATCCACCCACCTCGACCTCCCAGAGTGCTAGGATTACAGGCGTGAGCCACCGTGCCCGGCCTTGACATATAAATATTTACTATTATCTTTTTAGCTGTCTTTCTCCCCCCACCACAATGTAAACTTTATGAAAGCAAAGACTTTGTTTTGTTAAACTGCTGTATCTTCAGGATTTAGAACACTGCCTGGCACATCGTAGGATTAAGTATTTGCTGAATGAATGAATACATTCAAAACAATGTTCATACATCTGAGAAATGACAACAGTAGCAACTTAGCCATGAGATAATTTAGTCCTTTCAAATGGCTACTCAAAAAATACCTGTGCAGACTGAATACTTCTGAGAACTGCACCATAAGGTGATTTCTTTATTGTGCAAACATCATAGTGTGTACCTGCACAAACCTAGATGGTATAGCCTATTGCTCCTGGGCATAGCACATTACTGTTGAACACTGTAGGCAATTATAAAATAATGGTAAGTATTTGTGTACCTAAACATATTTAAACATAGTCTTATGGGACCATTGTTGTATATGCAGTCCATCATTGACCAAAATGTCCTTATGCAATGCATGATTATATATTAAAAAGATTACTATTCTAAGAGTCAGAATACACTTTATCCCTTCAGTAAATAATTATTTTGGGTATTCTACCAGATACTTGGGACAAGTCTGATCCTGGAAGCTCATGGTGTAGTTAGGGTTTAAAAACCCATTCCATCACAGCAAGCAGCCCAATGACTTTAGCTGATACACATTTAGTTTCTCCAAGACCCTTGCTGCCTTTACTACCAATAAAAACACATGTATTGCCTAGATTTAAGTATTGTGAAAATCATGAGGTAATATGTGAAAACACATTATAAATCATAAAGCCCTGTACAAATGTAAAAGAATAAAATATCTCTGAAATATATTTGAGAAATAGCTAGGAAATAAAGCATAAAGCATAGGAACATTTTAAGTTAGAACTAATTGCAAATACTCTCAGTTAAGCAAATTAAAGTACTTATAGTTAGTCGGGATCATAAATATAAAAATGTAAAATAGAAACTCAAAAATATTCTATTTTCTTGTACTGAGAGTTCTTATTGACATTAGAAGATATAAAAATTAGGCCAGGCACAGTGGTTCACACCTACAATCCCAGCAGTTTGGGAGGCCGAGGAGAGAGGATGGCTTGAGGCCAGGAGTTTGAGACCAGCCTGGCAACATAGTAAGACCTTGTCTCTACAAAAAATGAAAAAATTAACCAGGCACAGTGGTGTGTGCCTATAGTCCTAGCTACTCAGGAGGCCAAAGCAGGAGGATCACTTGAGCCCAGGAGTTTGAAACTGCAGTGAGCTATGATGTGCCACTGCACTTCAGTCTGGGCAACAGAGTAAGACACTGTCACACACACAAAAAAGAAAGAAGATACAACAATTAGCTGAAAGATGTAAAATCTTGTTCATAGTCTATCATTTATAGGTTACTAAAATTAATACATGGATTGTAGCCATACTTACCCTACAGGTAAAAAATGATGTAGAATAAGGTCAAGCTTTCTCTGTTCTTGACAGAAATGTCTGAAGAGCAAAGGTATCCATGGAATGATAGCTGTGGGACGAATTATGAAGGCAAGTGCCACCAGGGATGAGTACTTGACACTATAAGCAAGGAAAATGTGCTATCAAGACAAGTGGGAAATTAATTTTGAAATGATCTATTATTTACACACTGTAATATGCATTTCCTTTTGGCATAAACAGCTGTATGAACTTTAGCAGTTACTTGTACTTTCTGGATCTTGGTTTTTCTTATCTGTAAAAAGAGGAAATATCTAGTCTTTTTTTTTTTTTTTTTTTTTTTGAGACAGAGTCTCGCTTTGTTGCCTAGGCTAGAGTGAGTGCCATGGCGTCAGCCTAGCTCACAGCAACCTCAATCTCCTGGCTCAAGCAATCCTTCTGCCTCAGCCTCCCAAGTAGCTGGGACTACAGGCATGCGCCACCATGCCCGGCTAATTTTTTCTATATCTATATTAGTTGGCCAATTAATTTCTTTCTATTTATAGTAGAGACGGGGTCTCGCTCTTGCTCAGGCTGGTTTCGAACTCCTGACCTCGAGCAATCTGCCCGCTTCGGCCTCCCAGAGAGCTAGAATTACAGGCGTGAGCCACCATGCCCGGCCAAATATCTAGTCTTTTCCAGCATTAATATCCTAATTCCAATATTTTCAAGAATTCAAGTTATGTCTTAACATCTTGTGTGCTAAAATGTATACTAACTTTTCACCACACAAATTTGCCAATTACTTTCTTGATAGAAAAATGGAAAATGAAAAGTTTCTCCTAAGGAGGTATAAGGAAGTCACACAAACCGTTTCTCTAAGGAAAAACATCATATTTAAAGAAACATTAGGCAATGATGGTCTTCTGAGTACGTATGATTTTGTTCTGAAAGCAAGCTAATTTTATCCAACTAAAACATTAGGCAGTGATGGTCTTCTGAGTATGTATGATTTTGTGTTGAAAGTAAGCTAATTTATGTACATAACTGATAAAAAGTGTGTGTGTATATATATACCTATAGGCACACAAATGATAAAAATTCTATACAAATCTATATCATAGATAAAAATGTCGGTTTTTACTAATAGGACTTTTCTCAATAAATGGCTGAAAGAGATGATTTGATAATTTAATCACAAGGACTATAGGTAGTAACTTATCATGTGGAAAAATATTTAGCCCTGCTAAAAATTAAAAGCAAGCAAAATAAAACACATACGGTATCATTATATACCTATTAACTAATATTAATAAAAATAAATAACTTAAAAAAATCCTTAATGTCAGTGAGGAAGTAAGAGCAGGGCTAACAAATTCAAATGCCTACAGAAACCAGGTAAATAATAAAAATGAGAAAGGCAGGCTGGGTGGGAATTATGATATTGTCATGAAGGACTTCTAGCCCCAAATTCTACTACTAGGAGTTCCAAATTTTCAAGAGAAACCAGAAATCTAGGTTTTTGTGTAAGATCTCTCTGTTTAAAAAACTTAGCCAAGTGGTTTACTTTTTTAAAAAACACTGTACAAATGAAATAAAACATACCTGTGCCTTGGTTTGACTTTAGCCTAAATGCAACTTCTCCTATGGTGAAATTACAAAGAGGATGTTTATTTCTAGTTTTGACCTTACTCCAAATTTTCAGATTTATATTTCTTACTCCTTTCTGAGTATTTTTTATATAGCTCACATACTGGCACTCAAAATTATAGTGTATGAATAAACCCCACAACTTTCCCTCAAACCTGTTCAGTGTACACTATATAAGGAATAGCATCAGTTAGTTTCTTAGTCTTAAAAATTTATTGTCACCTTATACAGCAACTTCTCATCCCATGCATCTACTTTTTTTTTTTTTTTTTTTTTTTGAGACAGAGTCTCGCTTTGTTGCCCAGGCTAGAGTGAGTGCCGTGGCGTCAGCCTAGCTCACAGCAACCTCAAACTCCTGGGCTCGAGTGATCCTTCTGCCTCAGCCTCCCGAGTAGCTGGGACTACAGGCATGCGCCACCATGCCCGGCTAATTTTTTATATATATATCAGTTGGCCAATTAATTTCTTTCTATTTATAGTAGAGACGGGGTCTCGCTCTTGCTCAGGCTGGTTTTGAACTCCTGACCTTGAGCAATCCGCCCGCCTTGGCCTCCCAAGAGCTAGGATTACAGGCGTGAGCCACAGCGCCCGGCCTATGCATCTACTTTTGTTTCCTTCCCACTTCCACTGTCATCATTTTAAATCAAGTCCTATCATTTATCTTCATTTCTTTTTGCAATGCCTAGAAATATTCCTTTATTGAAAACATCATTGTCATCAACACTTACTGAGTACTTACTTTGTAAGAGGCCCTATATTATACCTTTTACATAGATTCTCAATTAATTCTTTTGAGAGTTGTTTTATTCTCATTTTACAGAAATCAATGCTTAGATATTCTACATCTAAGTGTGGAATAGTACTTGTGGTGCGTATACAGGGAAGAATGCTTATATAGTAGTCCTTTTGTATCACATGACCCTTGCTTCCTAACTCAATCAAGGGAAGGCACCTGGCCCAGGCATCCAGTCTAAGGCTGGCCAGTGTGAAATTTATGTCTAAAAAGGGACAATGACATTTAACAGACCTAATCAGATTCTCTCAAACTGAAGGTGAGATAGAGAAAGTTGGGCAATGGGTAGCAAAAAAGGACGTAGATAGACCAGCTAAGCCCCAAAGGATGGGAAAGTAAAACAGAGATGCATAGACTGTTTGGGCTATAAAGGCACAACAAAATAGCCATTCCCCAAACTGCCTTGGATTTTGTATAACGTTGCAATTCATTTGCATGGTTGAGATTTCTCCCAGGCCTGGCCACAAGGCTGAGATGCCCATTGTTTAGCCTCATAATAACGTCCTCATCATATAGGTAACTTGAGTGAATTCTTTTTCTTGCAGTTAAGAGTCTAAGGCAGAAATGATCTTATTTGATTTGATCCTCCCAACAACCTTTTATGTAGGAAGAATAGATATTAGCATTTTAACTGGATTCCTCAATTCTGGCTTTTTTCCTTTTAGTATATCCTAAATATTGCTACTACAGGAGAATTCTTTCAAAACCAGATTTGATTATGTCATGCTTCTCCAAAGCCTCCAGTGGTTCCCTCCAAACTACAGAATATAATCCAAATTCTGGAGAAGAGCAAAGTCCCATTCTAGCCTCATTACTTATTCCTCTCTCCTTCTGTGCATCCTACCATACTCAAGCTACTGTGGACAATCTGCCCTAAATATACTGAAGCCCTTTCACAGCTCTGTGCCTTTGCTCATGTTCCCTTTGCTTGATAGTTGTTTCCCCAGTTTATATGAAGCCAAATCAGGTCCAAATAGTTTCAATTTGCCCTTCCACCACCCTTTACCTGTTCTATGTGCAGGATGGCTGTCCTGCCATGGACTACATCTATGAACTACTTTGCTTTCTGGCTTCTGATTGGTTCTGTCTAATTGGAAGGCAGAAGGTGAGTCCAATTTGGCTTACTTATTCCTGTGGCTATCTCCTTGCTATTGCTAAAAACTGGATATGCCTGCCTTCTATTGGATCGCTCTCTTATAGTTATGGCTCTGTACAGGCTCTAGTAACCATTTCGTCTCCTTGCTCCTTGGGCCATAAAGATAATAGAGACTTCCTACTATGATTAGCCTTGGGGTACCATGGTATTCCTTATTGACTTTCCTAAATATTTTATATACCTTTCGAAACATTTCTTTTATTAAATTAAATCCTTAATTATCCAGTTTGAGTACTATCTGATTTTACTATAATATATTTCAACTGAAAGTTTGTGGTTCTCATGACTCTCATGAACAGTAGCAGGTCTACTGGACATTACAATATGTTGATATTTAAGATTTTTCAAAAGCATGTCTTAGAGTTTTGAATATAAGTATTAACAATAATATATCTCACCTGTTCATAGACTTTGAACCTTCCAAAGGATAGTAGAAAAGAGCAATTATAGTGAGAACAGTTTCCATGGTGTTTGTAAGGGTTCTGGTACAGCAATACCATGTGAACCAAGAGCACAACTGGCAAAAAAACTAAGAACAATTATAAGTAAATATGTATGAAGTAGAAAATAGAAGAGCTTAGTAAGTACTATCTTTATGGAAAACAGCAAGCAAGTCTAAATATTGCAAAAACCATATCAGAAGTTAAATGATGTTAAAAGTAAGTAAACATGCCCAAACAATGTTTTTAAGAAGTTATATCAAACACAGGTCTATGATATAATATCAGCTCTATATTTATTAATGTTAAGAAATTTATACTTTCAGGTGCATTTTTATGGCATTGCATTTGATTTAAATCCCACTCTCCATTAATGAAAGACATAAAACACAAATTCTTTGATGATAGAATTTACAGAGGATTGAGATTTATAAATAGATTCTCCCAATTAGTATTCCTCAAACTGTCTGATAGTACCAACACAAGTATTGTGACTTTTTTATTGACTTTGGTTTGGAAGTTACCCTATTCCTTGATGGAAAAATTAAGAAAAAACAGGAGAGAGGGAAAAAAAGGCCAGGAGACATTATTAAATTTTTATTTGGATACGGAATAAATTAATAAACCAGCTTTTAGAAGAACATGCAAACAGAGCATCATTAAGTCTATAAAACAAATGTCTTAAAAGAAACTTATTACTTGGGCCAAGGGTATTAAACATGTGGTACTATCAATAGCTTCCTATCTCTTCAAATATAGCCTTGAAAAAATATTTCCAATTTTCATGAAGTTAAAGGTTTTTCACAAACTAGAAGAACCTAGTGTTGCATTTTTAGAGGAAGGATTTCTTTTTTAACTTTATTTTTCTATTAGAGGAGAGCCTTGCTCTATCACCTAGGCTGGAGTACAGTGGGGAGATCATAAGCTCACTGCAGCCTCATGCTCCTTTGCTCAAGCAATCCTGCCTCATACTCCCGAGTAACTGGGACTACAGGCTCCTTCCGCTCCACTCAGCTAATTTTTGTTTATTTTTTGTAGAGACAGGGTCTCACTATGTTGCCCAGCTGGTCTTGAACTCAGGGGCTCAAGCAATTCTCCCACCACGGCCTTCCAAAGTGCTGGGATTAGAGGCGTGAGCCACCACACCTGGCCGGAAAAAGGATTTCAAAGTCATTGTGACCTTTGCCTACCATTTCATGTTAAACCTTCAGCCGGGTACATAAAATAAAAGCATAGGCCAGACATGGTGGCTCATGCCTGTAATCCTAGCACTCTTGGAAGCCGAGGCAGGAGGACTGCTTGAGCCCAGGAGTTTAAGGTTGCTGTGAGCTAGGCTAACGCCATCGCATTCTAGCCCAGGCAACAGAGCAAGGCACTGTCTCAAAAATAAAATAAAATAAATAAAAGCACAAAATAAAGAGGCTGACTTTATCCTTGAATCAATTAGCAAGGACTTAATCACCAAATCAATCTTTCTTTTTAAAATGCAGAAGAATACAATACTTGTCTTTTCTCCAATTTAATAAATTATTTTGCAGAAATGTGTTAGTAAATTGGTTACTTGGAATTTAGAATGTATTTTCCAATGGAAACAATATTGAAAAAGGTAGTAAGATTTCTAAACTGGCTCATATAAGCATATTTAATTTTGGAAAGAGCCAAGTGAAGTCACAACAGTCTTACAGAATCCAATCCCTTGTCAGGATACGATTTCAATGAGAATATCCATTTAAGGAGCAGTGGCTCACGCCTGTAATCCTAGCACTCTGGGAGGCCGAGGTGGCCGGATCACTCAAGGTCAGGAGTTCGAAACCAGCTTGAGCAAGAGCGAGACCCTGTCTCTACTAAAAATAAAAAGAAATTAATTGGACAACTAAAAGTATATAGAAAAAATTAGCCGGGCATGGTGGCGCATGCCTGTAGTCCCAGCTACATGGGAGGCTGACGCAGGAGGATTGCTTGAGCCCAGGAGTTTGAGGTTGCTGTGAGCTAGGCTGACGCCACTGCACTCTAGGCTGCGCAACAGAGTGAGACTCTGTCTCAAAAAAAAAAAAAAAAAAAAAAAAAAGACTATCCATTTAAGAATGGGAGATGTCAAGAATCTATATCCCCACATTGAAATAAGCCAAATGACAAAAGATAGACTACTACACCACACTCTCTCCCTTACATGAGTCCAACTATTTCAAACATTCCAGCCAGAAGTAAAAGAGTGTCTCAATGCAATGGATTTCTGAGGCTGCACCTCAGGTAGCTAGAGGAATAGACAAGGGTGATAAGTAGCTGAGATGCTTTGTGAGGTAGGCAGTGATTTAGAACTATTCCTACTGAATTCTATGAAAGTGAGGCAAGGACAGTTTTGAGGAGTGAAGGGGCTTCCAAAGGCTGTCTCCTGGGGTTTAGCCTTTGATAGCATTTGAGGTCATCAGTGGCTTCAACCACCTAGGGCTTTCTCAGAAGGAGAGATATGGTATGTGCCACTTGCATTTTGCTGTTTTTAATTATGGAAGTACCCCTATAAAGTTATATGAATTATCTTCCAAAACTGTTTTGGGAATCGATGTTTCCACATGTTTTATGTCCATAGGAATGAAATAACTGCCATACAGTTTCTAAAGTGTTTCAGACTTACCACCCATCTTGCCACTTCCCGATTTTCTAGTTGCTTCATTAATGAGTAAAGCCGAATGTCTGCTACAGCAGATAGAAGTGCTTGGGCAAGTCTAGGAATCCAAATCTTCATTAGTTGAAAAAGAAGAAGAGGATGTTAAAAACATCTGTTGGTTTACACTGAATTACCGTAAAAATCAACAAGCTCATCCAACTATCAATTGAAAGCCATTTTTAGTATAAAAATAGTCAATGTATTATTCTGTTAATATTCTTCTACAAAAATACATCTCTTTCTCTTCAAAATTACATTAATTTCTCATGACAATAAATACTTGAGGTGGTTTTACCATTCTCTCTGTTTTAAATATATATATAACATATATGTGTAAAACATATATAACATATAAAAATACATATATAATATATATAAAACATAAAACATATATATGAAATCAACACTAATTTTAATTTAAATAGCAAACCATTTCATTGTGTTAAGATTCTATTTTAGAATTATACTTTCATTAGCAACAATAGGTTTTTTTTTAAAATCAAACATTTCTAGTACTGGGTACTACATATCATACTAAGTACTTTATATATATCAGCTCATTCAGTCCTAACAATCTTCTGAGGTAAGTACTGTTTAATAGATGAGGAAACTGAGACACAGAGAGCTTAAGTTATCTTCACAAGGCTGCACAGCCAGTTATCGTAGAAGCCAGGATTCAAAACCCAAGTCTGCCTGACACTAAAGCCTGTGCTCTTAACTACTAAATTACATTGTTTCCCTATTCCTCAGTATAGATGACAAATTGCTTTTTTTTAAAAAAAGAGCACAAATATCCTATAATTATAGAAAATGGTATTCAGAAGACCTTAAAGAGTAAATTTTAAGAGTAAAAGTAAAAGCAATTAAAAACTAAATGCATTACAACTAAATTATAGTTGGAAATGCTAATACCATGTATTAGCATCTCTGAGAATTAAAAAATGTGTCACTGGGGCACATATTCTCAGGACCTCTTGAGGCCATGTGCTCTGGGCCAGTCACACACATTTTGCTCAGAATAAACCTCTTTAAAAAAGTGTCATAGTTATCACTAACAAAATAACATTTGCTGCTAGAGCACGATTTAATCTTGGTTTGTTCAAAAGATATGTTTCTAAAAATTTGTGAATTTGTATTTTTTGTTGAATCAAACTTTATTAAGTTTACATTATAATTAGAGCTGCTTTATTTTCAATTGTCAGTGGCTTCTAACACTTTAGCTTTATGTTCTTTTTCTTTGTCAATATGTAAATAAATGCTTACATCTGAAAAATAAAGGTAGACTATACTTCTTAATTCCACTTAAATTGTGCCCTGTAAAATACAGTAAAAGGCACCTATGTACATACCTTCTGTTTACTTTGCATAGGGAGCTATAAGCTTCATCCTCACTTCCCAGGCCCCCTGAAAGCAGTTCATATGAAAAGTCAATTTGGCCACAAACTTACTCTGAGCCAACAGTGTGAGGAGGCTACTAAAAAGATAATAGAATCCTTGCTCTGAGAGATAGTTCTTATGAAGTTAATGGTCCCACTATATTCTGAACTAGTTACCCTAGCCTTCAGTATTGCGTTCAGTTTGGAGATCCACATTTTAAGAAGGATATTATTTAATAATAAATTACAAGGTTTCAGACACTATCTATGATTATGAGGTTAAGAACTGGAGATGGCCCGGTGCGGAGGCTCATGCTTGTGATCCTAGCACTCTGGGAAGCCAAGGCAGGAGGATTGCTTGAGGTCAGGAGTTTGAGACCAACCTGAGCAAGAGTGAGACCCCATCTCTACTAAAAATAGAAAAAATTAGCCAGGCATGGTGATGCATGCCTGTAGTCCCAGCTACTTGGGAGGCTGAGGCAGGAGGACTGCTTAAGCCCAGGAATTTGAGGTTGCTTTGAGCTAGGCCAATACCATGATATTCTTCTAGCTTGAGTGACAGAGTGAGACTCTGTCTCAGGAAAAAAAAAAAAAAAAAAGAACTAGAGATGTTTAGCCTGGATAAAGAAAAATTTCTGAAGGGTTGTCATGTAGCAATCTTGAATTTAAAAGAAAGTAGGCTGGGCATGGCGGCACACACCTGTAATCACAGCACTTTGGGAGGCCAAGGCAGGGGGATTACTTGAGCCCAGGAGTTTGAGACCAGCCTGGGCAACATAGTGAGATCTCTGTATAAAAAAAGAAAAAACTTAGTTGGGTGTGGTGGCATGTGCCTGTGGTCCCAGGTACTGGGGAGGCTGAGGCAGGAGACTGCTTGAGCCCAGGAGTTGGAGGCTGCAATGAGCTAGAATTGCATGCACCACTGCACTACAGCCTGGGGAACTGCAGCACTGCACTGCATCCTCTCTAAACAAAGAAAAAAGGAGAGAACTTGACTTATTATTTTTGCGTTGAGCTAAAATCTACTTTCTTGCTTGCTTTTTTGAGATAGGGTCTCAGCCAGGGTTGGAGTGCAGTGGCACAATAATAGCTAACTGTAGCTCCAAACAATTGGGCTCCAGTGATCTTCCTACCTCAGCCTACTGGATAGCTGGGACTACACGCCCACACTACTATGCCAGCTAATTTTTTGTAGCAAAGGGGTCTTGTTATGTTCCCTAGCCTGGTCTTGAAATCATGGGTTCATGCAATCCTCCTGCCTCAGACTCCCAAAGTGCTGGGATTACAGGTGTGAGCCACTGAGCCAGGCCATAAGTGGAGTTCTGAACCCCAGTTATTAGCAATCTCTCCCGACTTTTAAGATACCATAATTTTCCAGGTTGTAGTAAGGACCTAAGAAGTAAATAACAGTTGCACATAGCTTCTGGAAAATTAAAAGCAGTAGGGTGGGGTAAAGAGGAGAAGGGGTAGTGTTGGCAGCTTACCTTTCTATACTTCTGTAAGCTCCTGACTCCTCCCTTAGGCTACAGGAGCCAGGTACCCTTTTGTTGTCTTCTGACTATTCAAAGTCCCTACTGTGGTACCTCATTCAGTTTCCCCTCCTCTTCCTCTTTCCTCTCACATGTTCTAAGCCAGCACTAGCTGATAGAAATATAACACAGGCCACATGTATAATTTTAAATTTTATAGCAACCAAATTTAAAAGTAAAAAAAGAAAAACTCAAAACCTAAAACTCAGTACAGGCAAAATTTCATTTTGTTTAATCCAATATATCTCAGACATTTTATTTAATCAATATAAAAAATTATAAAAAATATTTTTATAATTTTTTTGTACTAGGCCTTTGACATCCAGTATGTGTTTTACACTTACAGCACCTTCCAGTTTGGACTAGCTACATTTCAAGTGTTCAACAGCCACATGTGCCTAGTGGCTACCATGATGGACAGTGTAGCTTTAAGCCATACTTACTTCTGTGCACACACCTTAGGCAGTTTAGAGAGAAGCTATCTGGAAAGTAGACCTAGGATTTAGCTGTAGCTATGTTTTTAAGATGCTGTGACCTTGGTCTATTTAATTCACTTCTCTGACCCCTTCTAGCTTCAAAATGATAAAATGTGCTTAAAATAACCAATATGAGAATATGAATGACTAACTGATCACATCCTAAAGACTCTCTACCTGGTCAAGTTCCAAGTAGGACAGAGGGTTTTGGGGGGGGATTAGTGGGGGGGAGGGCAGGAGTCAGGGGTCAGGGAGGTTTCCTTTACATCACAAAGTGGCCTGGTGGGTCAGCTATAGGTTGAGGGCAGTGGATAGGTTTTAGAGGAATAGGAAATTTTTCTATCTTGAAGACTCCTTCATTAATAATCTTACTACTTACTTGTTGAAACATAAAATGTCCTTGATGACATTATATATATTTGCATATGGTTCCAGACTTTATGAATACCCTGCAGAATATATAAGCTGGTGCGTAACTCTGAGAGGAGAAATGTTAATTCGCAACTCCTAAATTCTCTCTGTGTCAATGGGAGAAACTCTGCTGCTGCTCTAAATTCTTCTTCCCCTATAAAGCATCAGTTTCACTGGTGTGACTCTCATTTCTTAATAATGGGAAATCAAATATCACTGCAAAGGGAAGGGTACAACCCTGCCTTAAAACAAATACCTGGAACCGTAGTGTCTTCCTAGGCTCCAAAAAACACCTCAGGACTTAAACTCTCTTTGGAATACTGGGCCACTAGCCCTCCCTAACAGAAAATAGGGAAGGCCCAAAACTCTGAGTCCAACTACATGACAGCTTAAAAGATCTTGAGAGTGAGGCTACAGAAACTTTTGTACCATTAGGTCCTCCTTTGTACCCTCTGCTAACAACTGACCCCAGCAATTCATGATCTAGGAGTTACAATCCTACCTAACTACTGATGTTCAATTACTACACACTGATTAAACATAATATTAAATTTCTATCAAATTAATTTTTTTTTTTTTTTTTTTTTTTTTAGACAGAGTCTCACTCTGTTGCCCTGGCTAGAGTGCCCTGGCGTCAGCCTAGCTCACAGCAACCTCAAACTCCTGGGCTCAAGTGATCCTTCTGCATCAGCCTCCCATGTAGCTGGGACTACAGGCATGTGCCACCATGCCCAGCTAATTTTTCCTATATATTTTTAGTTGTCCAAATAATTTCTTTCTATTTTTAGTAGAGACAGGGTCTCGCTCTTGCTCAGGCTGGTCTTGAACTCCTGACCTTGAGCGATCCTCCCGCATCGGCCTCCCAGAGTGCTAGGATTACAGGCGTGAGCCACTGTTCCCGGCCTCAAATTAATTTTTAAGTTTTAATTTCAACACTAAATCCTGAATGGGTTTATATGTATTTAGTCTTCATAAGCTCATATAACATGGTCTTCCACTTGCAAAAACAAAACACAACACTGCTCTCAAGTGATTCTTTTAAGAAGAGAGTATATTTCTGAAGTCCAAATAATGTATAATAATATAGTCATTTTGAAAATCTGCACATCCTAACAGGCTTCCTCACAACAGGGCACTTTCATGCTTAGTCTTGTGTTTGGCACATACTGAAGTGTTACACATCACAGTATGTCTTTAGTACCACGGCTTCCCACATACGCCTGGACTTTAGCAACAATAGCCTTTTAAAAATAAACTTCATGGTACCAATAATATCATTGAGTTAATATACATTAACCTTTGAAAAAGGACGTAATAAATCTATTTTTAACAACTATTTTGGTTACCTTTATTTAAACTTACCAGCAACTGAACACTATCTTGCCCCAAAAGATGTAGAATCTTGTAAATGCTTGCAAAGATTAAAGGGTAAGTGTAACCCCTTAATCTTTCTGTCCATTCCCAGGTCAAATAACCATAATTAGTAATGTTAAGGACTAAATGTCAAATAGTATTGAAACAAAACCTATTTTCATTTCCATATATAAAACATTTTATTTTATTTTAAAACACAGCATTTTATACTGGCAATTTGTATTATAAATTCAACTGGCCAACTAATTCTTAACATCTTCAAGGCAGTCATGTGTTTTTTACTTCCTCTGTATTTTCCAAGTACTAAGCCCTGTGGAAATATACAATAGTTAAGGGCTGTGTCAAGTATATTAACATGAAGAAGAAATACTGGTATAAAATAATTACATACTTTGATATGTTAAAATTATTTGGAGAAAATATAGAAAACAAAATATGTGCAGTAGTGTCCTTATCTATGGTTTCGCCCTCAGTCAACTGCCATCTGAAAATATTAAGATTGAGAGAGACAGAGAAGGGAAGGGGAGAAAGAGACAGATACCACATTCACATACCTTTTATTATAGTATACTGTTATAATTGTTGTTTTATTATTTTTGTTAATCTCTTACTGTACCTAATTTATAAATTAACCTTTATTATAGGTACTTATGTATAAGATAAAAACACAGTATATATAATATATATAGGGTTCAGTAGTCTTGGTTTCTGATATCCACAGGGCGTCTTAGAATGCACCCCCTGCAGCAGATAACGGCAGGGACTACTGTAATATAAACTGAACACAATTTCTAAGATGAATGGACATTCATAGTTTGGAAAAGAAGCTACAAAGGATATTTGAAAACCATGTGATGAGCAACTTCAAGAGACTGCCAATATTCATCTGGAACAAAACTTGTCTGCACTAAAAAGCAGTTAAATATTCGCAAAGCTATGGTAAACAACACCAGATAAATGTTTTCTCCAAGAAGATCTGAAAAACAAAACAGGTAATTGTGGCACAAAAGCCTGGCAGTTCCACTTACAGAACTTAAAATCTGCTGCTCTGGTTGGCCCTTTGCTCAGGCTCTGTTAAGGCACAGTAGTGAACTCTGGCCCCTTCACTCTGCTTTCAAAGCCCACCTAGGGAAAGTTCTACACCACTTGGTGATCACCACTCTTTTTACTTAACCAACTTTTCTTGCAACTTATTGTATAAAGAGAACATTAAGATAAGTATTGAAAAAGGGACTGGGTTAATTAAAGTCTTAGGCTAATTATTAATAGGTAATACTACATGTGTATCTAATGAAAGAAACCAGCTAATAAATTATTAGGACACAATCCTTTGTATGTGTACCAAACAGTGGCATATAAAATGGTCCCTTTATTGATGTTTACAATACACCAGGCACCGTGTTAATTCCTTTACATGCGTGTCAGTTCTCACAACAATGCTATGGAGTAGGTATTATCAGCCCCATCTTACATGTGAGGGAACTTAGGCTTCAGAAACTAAAATGCCTTATCCAAAGTAAAAAATCTGTAAATTACTAAACAGGATTCAAACCCAGATCTGTCTGCTAACTCCAAAGTCCTGCTCTTACCAACACATGGACAGACTGTAGGCTGAACAGAATTATCTTTTAAAATTTGAATTCAGTTGCCAACCACATAAAAATCAGAATTTATATTAAAATCTGTATCTCCAGCCTTCCAAGACTCTAAGATCTGGCAAGACAGAGCTCAACTGGCTGGTAGTGGAATACAGGGTGCTCTTACAAGCCCCCCAGAGAGCGGCCCCTCACTCACCCCGCCGGCGCCCCGTGCTCCTCTCCTGGGCGCTGAGGTACAAGGTAGATTTTCTCTTTCGCAGCTTCATCTTCTCGTGGGAGCGGTTCTGGAGAACGCGCAAGGCGAGGCCGCCGTCGCCGCCCTCCCGCTCCATTCCGCACCTGCAAAGAGGTGGGCTGGGAACCTGCAACCAACGCTTTCCCGGGGCGGAAGGAAGCTGCAGCAGCGCGCGCGCTGCTCCGCCACCACTAAGTTTGGCCTTTGCGAGCAGCCGTCGCTCTCGCAAGAGCGGAAGTAGCTGGGAAAGGGCAAAAGCCTTACTCGTGATCTCCTGGGTTGCACGCTGCTGGGTTAGTCTTCGCCGCTACGCTCGGCTCGGGCTCGTGTGCACGTTCCCTTTGGGCGTTTTGGCTGTGTGGTCTCTGTGTTCCTTGTCCGGAGCCTGCCGTAAGGAGCCCGATCTCTCCTGAGCCGGGGCGGCGGGAGGCTGGGTTAGCGACGGGCAGCCAGGGCAGGACAGTCGTAGGGGCCTGATTATTTTATTTTTAAAACTATCTGTTCAGCATTCCACTGAGTGCTTTGTAAGAACGGTAATGATAATTATAAATGGCAGGCCGGGCGCTGTGGCTTGCACCTGTAATCCTAGCACCCTGGGAGGCCGAGGCGGGCGGATTGCCAGAGGTCAGAGTTCGAAACCAGCCTGAGCAAGAGCGAGACCCCCGTCTCTACTATAAATAGAAAGAAATTAATTGGCCAACTAATATATATAGAAAAAATTAGCCGGGCATGGTGGCGCATGCCTGTAGTCCCAGCTACTCGGGAGGCTGAGGCAGTAGGATTGCTTGAGCCCAGGAGTTTGAGGTTGCTGTGAGCTAGGCTGATGCCAGGGCACTCACTCTAGCCTGGGCAACAAAGTGAGACCCTGTCTCAAAAAAAAAAAAAAAAGTTAGTTCTTTGTACTAACCACCCAGGCGAGCCATAAATTCTGGAATGTGTAGGCTTAGGAAAGCAGATATCCCCTGGCTTAGAATTTCAAGGTGGTGGCTCTAGGCATAGATCACAGACCGAGATTAGCAACGATGGGCAATGCAAGCTACAGGGGGCATTTCTCATCCCAGCTTCTCTTAGGGTGACCCCCTAAGATCTTTGGCTGAACCCTGGCAGCTGTGCCTGGCTTAGGTCACCCCTCCCTTGAGGGGTCTTACCCGTCATTGACTAACCAGCCATCTTACGGGGTGTTTATCATGTGGCCTCCAGACCCCCAATGCCATGGGGCAGAGCAGCTCTTGCTTACTTGCAACTCAGGTCCTTTGTTATGCCTCTAGGCAACACCTTTGTTTATCACAGGGAACCTGTCCGGAACACATTACTTTCAAAAGCTCTGGGCAGAACACATACATTACTCACTAACTTTAATTCATAAACTAGGAAAATATATGTCAGTCCCCTCCATGGCTATAGTTCTTAGGGTGATGAAAATGTTCTGGAACTACATAATGGTGATCAAGGTACAACTTTGTGAATAAATTAACACTGAATTTTAAAAGGTGAACTTCATTTTGTGTGAATTATAGCTCAATAAAACTGTCAAAAAATATACTACAATACATCTAAAATAGCAGCTGCAATTGAGGTAGTCCACTGTTTTCTGCTATTGCGATAGCCCACAATCCATCTATTTTTTGGTAGTGAAATATATATAACATAAAATTTATCATTTTTAAGTGTACAGTTCAGTGGCATTAAGTATATTCATATTGTGCAACTGTCACCACCATCTATCTCCAGAATTTTTTCCATGTAGTTTTTTCAGGGCCCAGAGAGGTGAATTGAATGGGGATGTAGAGACTCCATCGCTAAATCTTTGATATCTTTGAATGTGGCATTAATGTCTGTAGTTCTTTGCATCAATTGCTTCTAATTTACTATCTCCAATTCAGGTAAGCAGGGTTCAGGAGCCTTCCCAGTTGGCCTTTCTCCCCCCCATGAAAGGCCTCTTATCAAAAAGGCACGAGATCAATATGAGCGTCTCCTGTCAACTAACGAGTTTTGTATTTAATCCTAAACCTTAAAGTAATTGTGGGGGGCCCGCCGCAGCGGGGGGGGGCAGGTGACCTCCATCTGGTAATCCTAGCACATCCCCTGGGAAGCGCCGGGCCGGGTGATTGCTTGAGGTCAGAGTTGCGAAACCAGCCTGAGCAAGAGGAGACCCCCATCTCTTACTAAGAATAGAAAAGAATTAATTTGGCCACAACTAAATATATATACGAAAAATTAGCCGGCAGGTCTGGGCGACAATGCCTGTAGTACCAGCTTACTGGAGGCTGAGGCAGGAGGGATTGCTTGAACCAGGAGTTTGAGGTGCATGTGAGCTAGGCTGACCAGCCAAGGACTCCACTCTGATTCTGGGCTACAAAGCGAGACCTCTGTTTCAAAAAAAAATAGAATTGTCGGGGGAGGGGGCCATGGAGACCGAAAGCCCCCAAGGAGAAAGGGGGGGGGGGTGGGGGGGGGGGGGCGGGGGGGGGCCACCCCCCTATTTAGATTAGCTGTGGGCTAAACCCCGTGCGATTCATCCCTGCTTCACCTCCCTCAGGAGCTCCTACTCCTGAACTCCGAAGGACCATCAGGGGTATATTTCTTGTCCTGCATTGTACAGTTCAGCTTAGGTATTGTATCCAGCGGCTCATGCACAAAGTCTGAGTATGTCCTCTTGCGCCCAAGATCCACTTATTCCTGTTAATGGTGGTTATACTCTTGGGGAAAGAGTACGGGCGGGGAATGTTTTTGTGTAATTTTGTATTGAATCAGAAGGGAGAAGAGTCCTTCCTCCAAGTGGATAACAGGCTTCTTCCCATCATTGAGCTCAACAGGTCCTATGAAATCTATAAACGCTGGCTTCAGATCCAGGAAACTGGGGAGGGACCATTAAGTTCCCATGGTGATGACCCTCGACATTCAGCCTTCTGACTCCACTAAGTCTCCGTCATTTCCTTTAAAAAATCATAATATCATATAATATATATATATATATACGCATATGGGAGTATAGTGATACTAATAGTTATTATGTAGTACACATTAAGAAAATACCCCTGAACTCCCATAAAAAAAAAGAACACTGCCTATCTTTCTCCTTTAGCCGAATACCATCCGATCTATTACTAATCAGCGCACAGATGCCCTGTGCGTTCCAAGACCACCCCGGGGCCGGTTTGCCGCAGCTTGCCTCATATGCAGTTATGTCCTGCTATAATGTCTGTCCTTTGCTTTTGAAATCTTTTTATTTCTAGTTGATTCTAGGACCCTGTTGCAGCGCTGGCTTTTGACAACCCCCCAGCCTGTGAAAGAGCCAATCACCATTAAGCTTTTCAAAGATGTTAGTGCCGCTCCCTCCCACCAGTGCCGTCCGTTCCCTTGCGCCAGGTGAAGGGACAAGTATCGCAGCATGGGCCCTTCTCCAGGTAAGCATAAAGGCAGGGGTTGATTTCCTCCAGTCCTTATAATAAATCCCATTCTAGATTCTACACAGATCAGGTAGGGCCCAGGATACGAAGGAGTAAAGAGTTTAAAGAGGGAAAGCCCAAACGAACAATCCGATATACTTTATTTTCAAGTGGGGCCACTATATAAGTGCCAGGTCCTATGGGATTTTTTGAAGAGACCTAAGTTTTTATTATTTTAAATACATTTCAAACCTTAAGAAAAAGGTACAAAAATAGGGCGAAAAATATTCTCACGACAACTGTTACGCACCATCATCACGCCAATCTATTTAACATCTGTGCCCACATTTGCTTTGATCTCCTCCCTTCTTGCCTGTATATACTGTAAGGTAGGTGTGCTGCAGTATGTATGTGTGTTATAGCTCACACATATACATGTACAAGCTCATCTATTTTCCTAAATCCTTTGAGAGTAAGGTGGGGCACATCATGATGCCCTTTTATTCCTAAATATTTCAGTGTAATAATTCCACTGAAACCACCCAAAGATGTTCTCTTTCATATTCATAGTATTATCCGATCAAGAAACTTAACGATTGGATAATGATTATTATACTAGTCCATATCTCATTCAAATTCCCAGCCAAAATCCTATTAATGTCGCCTGAGAGCAAAAGAAGCCAAACTCTTTTGTTCTGGTCCTGGGAGCTAATCAACAGGGTCACATTTCGAATTTAGTTGTTATGTCTTTTTGGTTCGTTAATTCCTGGAGCCAATTCCCTCCCCAGTCCATTCCTTTTATGACTGTTGACATTTTTGAAGAATACTGGCCTGTTGTTTTGTAAAGTGTCCCTTAAATTGGTTTACTGATGCTTTTTCACTGATAGATAGAACTCAATATGATACAGAATACCATATAAACTGCTGTCTAACATGGTTCATGCACGGATTCCTATTTTCATTCCACAGTTGCATCCCCCATTGTTATCATCCAGGGCCTGGCTGCATGATTGTAAGGCCGCCATTGCAGCATGAAACAGGCAGGGCCTGGAGTGGGGCTGAGGGAGTCCAATTTCTTCCCGTCACATGGGCTGACCTGATCAACCCCATCGCAAATGGGCAACCCACAGGGGAATTGAACCTTCCATGATGGTGTGTTCTGATTTCCTCTCCAGCATCCATCCCTTTGTGTCATTCACAGACTTGCACTCTATTAAAGCACAAATTCAAAGTTTAAAATTATAAGAATATTCAAGACCCAGTGACTGCACCAGCCAAATAAAATTCTGAGTCAGGTCTGCCGTGACTCTCCTGCCCGCTTACCCATGGCCCACGAAAGCTTAGCCCTTGACAAACACTAAACCAGGCTTCAGGCCTGGTTTCCGAACTCGCTGACGCTCAAAACCCAATCTTAAACCTGCCCTCACCTCCCAGAGTGTTAGGATTAAGCGTGAGCCATTTCGCCCGGCGACAAACCACCTATTTTGATGTTCAACATTGGTCCTAAAGATTTGGTTTTATGGCGAATCCCGTTGCCAAGCTGTTCCAGTGTCCCCTTTTTTTTTAGAGTAGAATATTTATTTCAAGTAGCAAAAAGTGATGTTTAAACCCATTATCCAAAATTGTGTTCAGTTTTAATAGATACTAATAACAAGATTTTGCAAAAAAACTTTACCCAGTTAAGAATGAATACCTTAAGAATATACTTTAACATCCACAGTGGGCCATTTTTGAAGAAATGAGCTTTTGCTAAAATGTTATTAAAAAAACCAAAAATATATTTAACGGTCATCCAGTTAAAAATAAGTCCTTAACGAGGAGCACAGTCATCTCAGGCGTGATATTGTGCTTCTGGGCCTGTCTCACCATCCCTTCCAATTAAATATGTACGAAAACATTAATACACTAATTTGCTGTGTGTGGATCTAGTATCCTGTAGCTTTGTTACTTTCATTTATTAGGTCTAATATTTTGTTTTAATTCCTTTATGAATTTGTCTATATGTACTGATATGTACTGGGCTTCCTTTTATACGAAGAGGGGTGTTTAAAAAAATCAAGATCTGGGTGCTAAGTGTACCAATAGCTAAAAGCTACTGTGATCTAATTGCTTCCTGGGACTTCCTTAGCAGACAGAACCTGGACAGTAATGCATACACACATGACCTAGTTATCCTAATTTCTGTATATGATATATCCATGAGTTCCTTAACTGAAACTTCTGATTTCCCCAATTTTTTCAGAAATACTGGGGGATTCTGGCATGTTTCAAGTAGGAAGTCTCGCAGATGGCCAGAAAAGCCCCAGGGTGGGGAAACCCAAAGAGTTATAACTGTCCACCAAATTTTGTAGCTGGGCGGTAAGAACATGACCGTACAGATGAGCTTGAGAAACTCGGTGGCTCAAGCTGTTCTCAGTTTCTGTATAGAACAGCCACTGCTGCTGTTTTTCCTCCATAAACCTCTTCTGGACATGCTTTCTTTAAATGTCTTTTTTGGATTTTCTCCGTGCGCTCCCATGCTTTAGATGCTTGATGTTTGCCTCTTGGTTTCCGTGAAACCTCCTACATTTGTCGCTCCCAGTTCACTTTCAAACCCTAGCTGCATTGATCTCCAGCCGTCTTCCCCAGTACCCCTTGGGTAAATATGAATAGCCTTCTGGCACGTGTCTCTGTGCTCCAGGATGAAACGCTATTCAACTACCATAGCTAAATAAGCTTCACGTTGGATGTTCATGTCTGGTGCAGCGTGTCAAGAATGGAAATGTGGTAGCACAGTTCATGGCCTAATTTCACCCTCCTTCCCTGTTGCAACAGATTTTCTTGCGGTTGCTCTATGGTTCCCTAAAGCTGCCAAGCCAGAAACTGTGGGCCATCTGCATGGAACCGCTGTCCTCCCCTCCCACCCCTTGCAACAAAGTCCTTTTTGATTCACCTTCCTAAATATCGTCAAATCTATCCAGTGTTCATCTCCATCATTCATGGCCTCCTGCCTTCCTCCAGGGGTCACTATTGATTATTCTTAGCTTGGCTTTCTTAGATTTTTCTATAATTTCTTACTGGACTGGTTTCTTCCTCTAGACTACCGAACATGGGATTACTTTTCCAATTCTTAGACCTCCCACCCCGAAACAGTCTGAAGGCCCTTTCTCCGTCCCACTGGGGACACACACTGAATCGTCCACGCCTATGAGAAATTTGTTACCACTCTAAATCTTGAGTTGACGGCTATGTTTGCTGAAGTGTTGCCACTACTGATTCTATAAAAATCTGCCAACTCCTGGTTCACCGTCTGCGATAGGTTTGTAAATTGGACAGATACCGAGAGAGGCTAACGGCTGCTTTTAAATGCAAACCTGAGCCAGCCACCAGAGTGGAAAGGAGGATGGAGTCAAGGGCACAGTGGGGGCCCTGGGACAGGCTGGGTATGTTGTGGTGGACGGTGGCACACCGATTCCAGCTGCAGATGGCACAGGAGGTAGGAGAAGCTGGACTAAGGCTTTCCCAAACCCCATTCTTACTCCGCTTAGAATGAAATTGCTCTGCTTCCCCAAGCCCCTTTTGCTTTAGAGCCTCCCCCGGGGCAGGCAAAGGACCGCTGTTCCAGACCTCCCCAGGCCACTGTAGGTAAGCCTGCCTGCCTGAAGCTGGGACACGGTATGGCGTCCTGAACCGCCTCTGGGCCCCCCAGTCAGGCCCTGCACGGCCCATCCGCAACAACCCATGGCTGCGCATGAGAAGACAAGCCGCAGGGTGGCAGCCAAAAAGCTCGCAGGGGTTCCTCCCTGGCCAGAGGCCGGTTCTTCAATGCGAGTTGTAATTTTTTTTTTTCTTCCTTTCAAAAAAACGAATTCTCTAACACTCTGCATTGAAAAATATCAGAGTTGAAAAATTTTTTTTTTTTTTATAATGCCGAATTACAACCCGTGTGAGCAGAGACTCGCCGACCTGTCCCTCTCTCCCGAATTATATTTATTTTTACTGCCAGAATTTTTTAACCTTTTCAAGCCTCCCACCCCCCAACGCTGCACCTCGCCAGGCGTTTTTTTTTTTTTGGTGTTTTTTTTTTTGGGCGGTTTTTTTCGTTTTTTTTTTCTTTTTTTTTTTTTTCTTTGTCCATTTTCAAGAAACTCGCCAGACTTTCCCGTGCCCTGGAAAGGCCGTGCCCCCAGCGTCTACACACCGAGCGACGAGCCGGAGGCGGCGGGAGACCAGTTCCTGGAGATAGCCGAGCCCACGGGGGCGGCGTCGCGCGGAGGGCGCCGGGAACTCTAGGAACCTGGCCGGTGCCCAACTTGCAAGCGCGTCAGCACCATCCCTGGGCTACGACAAGACGGCCGACCCTGATGCCCCCGGGAAGACACCATTGAGGAAACGGGTTATGGAGGAAGGAGCGTTTGCGGCGAGAGCCCACCAAAACCGGTTTCCCGCGTAGCAAACCGGATCCTTGGCGGAGTTTGCAGATGCCACCGCGGGCCCGTGTCTCCAGAAACAGCAACACCCCCTTCTTTCGCGCCTTGCAAGCATCGGGGCGCAGTGGACGCGCTTTGTCCTAGGGACACATGGAGGCCGACCGGGGGCCGTCTCGTGGCAGGTTGCGGCGGCCGCCCTGCGCGGCTCGCTGTCCCACCGCTCCCCGGGGCGGGCCTGGGCCGGGGGTGGCTCCACCGCGAAGGTGAACAGGAGAAGCGGGAGGTGGAGGGAAGAGACGGAGGTCCGCCAACCCACCCTCGCTCCTCACTTTTTTACGCGGCAGAAGTGACTGCTGGGGCGCAGAACGGAAAAATACCTCGCCAAAGGACCCAAAAAGGGCCCGCAGGCGCGGGCCGCCGGGCGCGGACCGGACCGGGACGGCGGGCCGACCCGAAGGTGAGGCGGGCGGTCGCCCCGGGCGGGTGGGGAGAGGGGTGTGTGGGGAGGCGCGCTCCGCCCGGCGCCCGCAGCGTCCAATCCATCCCCCGGCAGGCCAGGCTGCCCGGGAGTGGCGTGCTCTGCCCTGTGCTGGGCTTGGAGGCTGGGCTCCTTCCATCCCAACCCGAGCCCGCCAAACAAAGTTGCTTTGGCGTCCCAGGCCACCCCCCGCGCGACCCCAGTGATGACTAACCCCGCCGCGGGTGGGGAACTAGCGGTGCCACGGTGCCTGCTCAGGTACTAGTTCCAGGTCGCCGCGGCGTCTAAGCCACCCCTGGTGGCCCGATCCGAGGTGCCCGAGGGTCACTCCCAGGGGGGAAAGGACCCAACTTGACTGAGGGAGGGGGGCAGGATCCAGGCCGCTGGCACCGTCCCCTAATTCTTTCCCTCCCGCCTCCCGTTGCCTTCCAGGTTTTGACCCCGTCTTTACCCCTCTTGGTGATAAGGGTCCCTGCACTGCACAAATAGCTGGGTGGGAGGCTCCTCCCTTTCCTGGTCAGTCGGACAGAAAACCTACCCTGGGCAGCCCCAGGCGCCCCCCCGGGCTCGTGACCTGCGATGTGATGAAGCAGGTTTCTGTAACTATGGCAAAAGCGGTCCTGCTGTCACCAGTTAACCCAGTTAGGGCCGCTGGCTCTAAGGAATCTTTGTGAGCCCTTGTCTGAGGCCGTCCCCCCTGGCCTTGCTTGTGCCTGGCCACCCAGACCCGCACGGCCTCTAGAATCTTCTGCAGCAGGGGCGGCCCTCATTCCCCCTCCACCTCTGTGGTAACAGCTGTTCTTTCCTACTGGACGAGTTCTCCGCCTTCACCTCCGTTCTACTTATCAGTCATATGGTTTGGGGAGAAGAGGTAGGAGCGGGGCAGTGTTTGATGGCCCATGTAAGTTTTCCCTGTAATCCCATTGCGACTAAATTTGTGGGTGCCCTACTCCTGCCCTGTTTCCTTTTTCTTTTCCCTTGTTTGCCTTCTTAAAACTTGCTTTATGGGGAAACAGCCTGGAAACAGTTTCTGCAGATGGTTTAGAATGAAGGAAAAATTAATATATGCTGAAAGAAACATATCTGAGGCGATCATCCTTTTCTGTGGGGGGGTTTTTTTGTTGTTGTTTTGTTTTTCTTTGAGACAGAGTCCTTACTCCTGTTGGGCTGGGCCCTATAGTGGAGGTGCCAATGGCGTCAGCCCTAGCTCACAGCAACCTCAAACATCCTGCCCTCCAAGCAATCCCTGCTGGCCTCAGCCTCCCGACGGTAGCCTGGGACTAAGGCATGGAGCGCCACATGCCCGGCCTAATTTTTTCCCTGTATATTTAGTTGGCCAATAATTTCCTTTTCTATTTTTAGTAGAGATGGGGGTCTCGCTCCTTGTTCAGGGCTGTTTTCGAAATTCCTGACCTTGATAATCCTCCTGTCGCCTCCCCAGAGTGCTAGCATTACAAGTGTGAGCCACCCCTCACCCTGGCCTTTTCTGTGTTTTATGTTGGTTTTCATTCCTGCCTCTCTTTCCTCTCTTTCTCCCTTCATGCTTCCTTCTTCCCCTCTTCCTCTTCCCTCCTTTCCTTTCCTTTCTAATTGTCCCCATCCGACCTGCCCTTTGAATTTTTAAGTATTGATAAAAGCATAAATTAATTCATTTTTCTTTTATTGCGTGTGCTTTTGGTCTCAAAACCCTAAGGAGCCATTGTCCAAATCTTAGGTCATGAAGGACTTTGTCTGTGTTTTCTTCCTAAAAGCTTTTATAAGTCCTTTAGCTCTTAATTATTTCATTCACCTTGATCCATCTTACAAATTAATTTTTGAATATGGTAATAGAGGGAAGGAGGTCTCAATTTCATCCTTTTGCATGTCAATATCGCAGTTCTCCCCCAGCACCATCCTTGTTGAAAAGACCTATTATTTCCCCTTTGAATGTCCTTGGCACCTCTTACTGAAATTGACCATGATGTGAGGCGGTTTATTTCTGGAACCTCCTCCAGCCCTGTTTGTCTACTTAAATTGATCCTGTATTCCTCTAGCAGAGTATCACACGCCTTGTTATTGTACTACTGTACGTAACGCTGAATCAGGAATGTTAAGTCCTCCCTAACCTTTGTTCTTTTTCAAGATTGTTTTTTGGCTGTATTCTGGGTTCTTGAATTTCCATATGAAAATTTAAAGATCAAGCTTTCAATTTCAATGGTTGCCTTAGTTCCTAGAAAGCCAGATGTAAGGGTTTTTGAAGTGGGCAACAATCTCTAGGAGCCAGCCCCCCTTGAGTTTTCCTCTCCCAATCCTGCCTTTTTCCCTTTGCTTTTCATCTTAGTGAATGGCAACATTTCGCTTTTCCCAGTTGCTCAGACTACCAACATCCTAGAATCACCCTGATTCTCTTGTGTTCCTTACCCCATGAATATATGTAGGATAATCACACCCGCATTTCTCAACCCCACTTCTGCTTCTTCCCACGCAGATTCCCCCTCATCTCTGTTAGCCTGGAATTACTGGCAGGTAAAAAAGCCTCCCCTAAAGGGCTTTCCTGCTCCCAAATCCTCCCCCATGGCAGTCCCTATTCTCAACATAGCAGTCCAGAGTCCATTAATGTCAGCTGCTCAAAACTCTCCAGTGGCCCTTTTAGTTTCAGCCAGAAAGAAAAAAACCAAATCCTCAAAACCATAACCCTCCATCATGATCCATGGAGGCCCTTACATGGCATGTGGCTTCCATCCATAACTCCTCTCTTCTGCTTATCCACTCCCAAGCCACACCCAGACCTTTGCACTTGCACTGTCTTCCCTCTTCCTAGAATGCTCTTTCTTCAATGTCTGCAGAGCTTCATCCGGCCACCTCGTTTTCATTCAGGTCAAATAATTTTCAGAGACCACCCCCCTATCTAAAACAGGTGTCCTCACCACTCCCTTCCATTTTCTACCCCCGCCGTTACCAGTGAACTTTTCCTCCATTTTTCTTTAGAGTATTATATAATAAACATTACTATCATTCATACATGCACATGCACGCAGTATATACGTCTCCCCATGTAGAATACCAACTCTGCAAAGAGCCAGGAATTTGTCTTCTTCACCTGTGTGTCCATAAGCACCAGAGAATGGTTTCTGCACTTTTTTGAGTAAGCACTCCCAAGAACAAATAAACAAAACAAAACAAAAACAAAAAACCAACTCCCAAGACGAAAAACCCAAAAAATTAATGGAAAGGGATTGGGAATTACTCTGCTGTTCCTTCCCATTTTTCCCCCTAAGAGAAGGCACTGCCCATAGAGTACCTAACCATCTCCCTCAAGTCTTTCCTCTTCTATCCTCTGATTTCCCCCCCAACATATATGGCCGTTTTCTTCCTAAAAAGGAAGGTGAACATAAGTAGAAAGGCTTGAAGGGCTCGTGTCTTTTCCCATGGTGGCAAGACGGGAGGGCCGTAATTCGTACCCTGGGCCAGAAATGGGACAGGCACAGTTTATGCCTCCCTCCCTTTCAGTATTTTGGTCCCCTCCTTGTACTGATCATTGGAAATTTTAAAAAATGGAAATTAACTTTCTAGACGCAATATTTGGCACCCGCAGTAATTAATCCTTCTCTGGCTTCTAAAAGAAATTGCCAACTCCAAAAAACCTCATTTTGTCTTTAATTCTTTTTTTTTTTTTTTTTTTTTTTTTTTTTGTCTTTAAATATGTAACGTACTTTTAGACCCCTGTCCAATGCTGTTGTATGTTGGCTTTATTTCCATGACAGATTGAATGTCCTGGAAAAATATTCATGATTCCAGCTCTTTTTTGAGTCCTTCCATTACCACAGAGTCTTGGACCAAAA